TGGGGGTGAGGAACAGCATGCAAACAAACATATACAAAGCAAGTTATACGCTGTATGGGATAAATAGGAAATACTTAACAGAAGCAGCCACGGGAATTAAGAAGGTTTGGGGAAGTTGCCTTACCGGTACCTGCTGACCAGATGTGTTTCATAAGGAGGGGAAGGAGGCTGAATCTCCCGAGGCTGAAGCTAATCTACTGTGTCTTTGCTGTATCTTGCTTGTGCTATAGTGAAGTAAACTCCTGTTAACTGGGCCTAGGAATCTGAGAACTTGTCCATTAGATTGGGAGCTCCTTGAGAGCAGGGATTGTTTTGTGTGTGGATTTGGCTTTTCTTTGTATCTCCCAGTGCTTAGCTCAATGCCTGGCACATAGTAGGCTCTTAGTAAATATTAATTGACTGACAGATGTCCTCTGAGCTTCTTCCACATTCTGAGGTTCTATGATGTCCATACTAATTCCACAGGCCTTCCTTTCCTGGCCAAAGTGGTTTTACTTCAGGTGTAACCCCAAATGGGTATACCATTGTAAATGGCAGGACTTCTGTGGTATAAAAACACTGGAGCTCACCACGTTTACAAGCTGACTTATAGCAGTGTACACCCCCCCCACTTTACTGCATCCCCCTCCTCCCTTGTAATGGCCCCAACAAATGAGCATCCAGTCTCTACTGGACGACCTCTGTTGCCTTATAAGTACCTTACAAGGTAGGCATCATTTCATTTTTAGATAAGCTTTAACTACCAGGACATTTTCCTATAGTTTAAGCTAACATCTATCTCCCTGGTTTGTTCTTGGGTGTTTTACATTATTTTAAAATTTGATTAATTTCTTTGAGTATGATGGAGCTGAAGATAGTAATGAGATCATATTGAGCTTATCCATAAGAAATATGATATTTAGCTAAGTCACTCTGTGAGGCATGGCCTGTGTTACTGGCTCAGTTGCCAAGTCTAAGCTATTCCTTCATCCTGTGTCAGCATAACATTCAGGAAAGCAGAGATTTGGTAGTTCTTTGATTGATTGACTAAATGTGTAGAATCGGCTAGATATCCATCAAAAAAGACTTTGGCTTGCTTTTCTAATAATGTGGGTGGGGCTTATCGTACCATCTCTACTAGCTCACCCAATCCCCCCTTGTGACAAATAGGGCAAATGTGCAAGTTCACTGGATGGAAGAGGAAGTAAAGTCTGTTGCTGTAGAACTGAGTTTTCCATTTTGGAGTGGACAAGGAATTGATACAGGGATTGAACCAGCCAACTAGACACAGGTATCAGGCAGTAAATAGTCTGGTGGCATGACTCTCTACGTTGACTAGGTTATCTGTATAGTTGCCAGATCTTTGTTTTCCTTCCTGCTGCTTAGACACAACCTTATGGTCAGAGACTGCTGGAAGCATTGATTATTGGGCCCTGTGCAGAGTAAATGCAGTGATGATCCTTGGGCTGTATCAATGGCATTCTTCACTGTTGTTCTGAATAGACAATGGGTCCTTTTGGTCATAAGGCTGAGCTCCTGGCTCCCTCCTTCCCTTCCATTTCCTTAAAATCTTTGTAAACTCACATTTTTTCCCCCAGGGAGTGCTCTTATTTTGTTCTTTTACTTATTTTTAATAAACATTTATTTTCTTTCCCTCTCAAATATACAATTAAAAAAAGAGAAAAATGAAGCACTCATAAGAAATGTACATAGTCAAGCAAAACAAATTCCTGTATTAGACATGTACAAAAATCTGTATCTTATTGTGCATTTCATGTTCATCACTTCCAGGAGGGGGGTATCAGCTTCATCTTTATAGAATTTTGGTTTGTTGGTCAATCTGTCAATCAACAAGTATTTATTAAGTGCTTGTGGTATACCAGGAACTATGCTACGCAATGGGGATACAAATACAAGCAAAATGAAGACTGCTCCTGCCCTCAAGGAGCTTACATTCTAACAGGAAAAGTCTGTCTCTCTCTCTTCTCTCTCTCTCTCTCTCTCTCTCTTCTCTCTTTCTCCCCTTCCCTCTCCCTCCCCCTCTGTCTCTCTATCTCTGTCTCTCTCTCCATCTGTCTCTCTGTCTCTGTCTGTCTCTGTCTCTCTCTCTCTCTCACACACACACACACACACCCACACACACACACACGCGCGCGCGCACACACACACACACACACACAGAAGTTGAAAAGTGGGGAAAGTACCCATGTGGGCCATGGTGGTAAAGTCCAGAGACTCAGAAAGAGAAGTGAGAGAGGCATAATGCCTAGAGGCTTTTCTTCAAAATGGAAATTCTAGGAAGAACTTAGGAGAAGGGTTCGAGGGTGGTTCTAGGGCAAGAAGGCTATAGGGGAAGAGAGATGTTCTAATGTAAGAAGGCAGCTGAAGAATAGTGGTAAGGTTTGGAGAGTCAGAAGTGGAGCCAAGAGAGGAATTAAGGATGGTTGTCCTGGGCCCTTCCTGAAAATGGAGATTCTGAGAGGAACTCGCCAATGAAGAATAGGCTGTAGGGGCAGAGGGATGTTCCAGGGTGAGAAGGCCATATGCATTGAGGGAGCTCATATTCTTGCTGAAATTTTCCTTGTAGATCTAGACATGTTCAAGGTTCACATCTTCACATGCATCAAACCTTTCCATCCTTTTCTTCCACTTGCTCCAGTTTAAATGTATGTGGCTAAGGCAAGATGGCGTCACCCTTTGTTGCTGAGGGTTGATTGTGGTCATGGCTGGTAGGCTGCCTCGGATATTGAAGTGACTACATGAGAGTGTGTGTGTGTGTGTGTGAGCGCAGGGTGAAGCACAAGGGAGAGAGGCATTGGGACAGGGACTCAAGTGGTACCTACTGCTGTAATTGCATTGATAAAAGCTCCTAAGTCTTTCAAATTTGTTTTTCTTTGAAATTTTGTAATTGTTACATAAATTATCCTTTTGGTTCTGCTCACTTACCTATGCATTCTCAGTTTCCTCTGAAACTGTCCATCTCATTATTTCTTATTGATACAATGATATTCTGTTACATTCCTATACCATAATTTGTTTAGCCACTTCCCAAAAGATGAGCATAACTTTATTTTCTAGATTTTTTTTGCTAGTAGAAAAGAGCAGCTATTGGTATTTTTGTACATATGGTCCTCTTACCTCTTTGATTTCTTTGAGGTCTGGGCCCCCAAATGGAAGCATCTGGGTTGAGAAGAATACACAGTTTAGTTAGTTTGGGGATATAGTTCCAGACTTTCATCTTTACCAGCAGTGCCTTAGGGTCCCTGCTTTTTGCTGGGGAGGATTTTTGATGTTTGTTAGTCTCAGTAAGGCTCAGGGCTTTCATAATATCTTACTGGTTTGTTGTGCTAAGTAGTATCCATTTTCCATCACAAATGACAGGAGTGTTGTTTTCTTAAACCCAAGTTGATGATGCCAGTGTGTCCCTTTGGCAGTACAATAAACAAGATAAAACTTGAGTCATCTTTGACCCTTCCCCTCTCCTTTACCCATTATTTCTAATCAGTCAATGAATCTTACTGATTCTCCCTTCAAAACATCTCTTCTCCATTACCTCTTTAGATCACAATATCTTAAGGTCCTAGCCTTAGAGCTGGAAGGGACCTTAAAGGTCTAGGCCAGTGCTCTCATTTTATGGATGAAGATGCTGAGGCCCAGAACAGGTAGATGACTTGGCCAAGGTCACATGGGTAGTAAGAGGTAATAGCATGATTTAAACTCATATCCTCTGACTGCAAAACCGCAGCCACTCTCACCATTGTGGTCATGGTGTCAGGCCTATGTCATGGCAGCAACCTCCTAACTTTTCTCCATGCATCTATTTTCCTGCCATCCCTATCAGTCCTACGCACTTCCACCACATAAGTCTTCCTACAACACTGATTTCATTGTAGAATCACAGAACGCTAAAGCTGGAAGCGAATTTATTGGAGAAGAGAATCTTGTCCAACATTTTCATTTGATAAATTGAGAAAATTAGTTCTGAGCTGATCTTCAGTGAACTTCTTTCTGCTGCTGCATGTCTCTACCTCCATTTTCCCTGTGAGAGTCAGAAGTATGTGAATGACCTCTCCCCCCTCCTATTATGCGCACTGGGAGGAACTCTGGTGCACCATTTTTGAAAGATTGCAACCCTTTGGTCCATAGAACAGTTGAGCCTAACCTTCAAGCTGACTCCACCTCACCCCAAAATCAGGATATTACCTAGCTGTCCAGAATTGTATCCTACTTTTCCCCTGATGTGAAGCTCCCTTTCTCCACTTTCTCTGTGAACATTCTGCAAATCCCACCTTCTCCATGAATCCCATATTGAGTTCCCCTTCTTTGAACTCCTCTTGTATGTAACCAATCATTTTGGCATTTAATCATATCCTGTCTCCCTTTGTTACTTAAACAATGCCGTACGTATTTGTTCTAATATAATTTTTTGCCTTTCTAAGATTTTTATAGTGGGAACAAAGTTGGATGTGGTGGTAGGAGACCTGCATTCAAATCCTCCCTCTCTTCAGTTTCTTCACCTATAAAATGGGGAAAATAGTGATTGCTCACAACAGATGTGTTGTGAGGGAAGCAGGAGCTTATGATCCATCTGATACTTTTGTCTCTCGTCCAGTGTATGGCACAATGCTAGATACTCAATAAATATTTTTAAATGAAGGGACAGGTAGAGGGAATGGACCTATATAGCAATTTGATTGCTATAGACAATGACTGGCTGAGAAAATTCTACCAATGCAGATGGGTACTTTCTTCTGCAACTTAGACTCTAGAGCATTGATAAGTTAGGTGACTTGCCTGAGGTCAGGCAATGTGTCAGAGGCAGAATTTGAACCCAGGTGTTTTCAGCTCTGAAGCCAGCCTTAATCCTCTGTGCCACTAGTATTGAGTGGAAGATGGAATTTTTTCACATGTAGCCAGTGCTCATGAGCAGTGTTTCCTTTCAGTAATCTTTCTGAAGGCTCATGTTACTGACTTTCTGGAAAACAGAAAGTACTCGCTTAACTATTTTCTTATTCTTTCAGCTGCCATGAAAAGTCACAAGCCAGATAAAAGTTCTGAGCTTCGAAGAGAAAATTTTACCACCTCTTCTCTCAATTACAAAAACATTTCAACTGTGGTTCTCAAAGATCTTGAGAAGTTTCAGAATTCCAGCAACAACAGGACCACACTGGATGCCTCAGGAAGCACCACTCTTGCATTGGAAACATCAAAATCCAGAGGGAGTACAACCTCATACAGTAGGATGAATGCTACTCCAGCACTTGGACACTTCTCAGAGATACCTTCTGCCCTGTCCTCTCTGAAAAACTCCTCAGGTATGTTCATGGCACTCATGCTTGAGTTATGTGAAAAATGGTACTTGGAGTGGAAGGGTTTGGGGAAGGGCAGGGGAAGATGTTCCAGGTTTAGGGCCATGAAACAGTGAAGTAAACTGACCCAAGCTTAGGTGGATCTGTGATCTTATATTGGTTTTCCCTCTACCAGAGCTGATTGTAATACCTTCATTCCTTCCTCTCCTGTGTAATACTCGTTCACATTCTCAAACTGTGAAGAGGATGGAAACCCTGCCCTCCCCCTCCCCTTTGAAGAACTTAGAGAAGAGCATGGAACAAGAGGGACAGACATGGATAGGTTGTGATCTGCATTGTTGGTGGGAACATCCTCAGTGGTGTGATCATAGGAACATCAAGCTATTTGAATTTGTCCTTCCTCAATACTGATGTATTAGGAACCATTCTTTTGTTATTTCAATGACTGGAGTATACCATTGCTGCATGTGAAAAGTCCGTTGTCCATCATTCTTGATACACTTACTTTTTTGGTCATACTTGTCCTTAACGATGTCCTTCATGCTCCTCCTTATGTGGCAGTCACAAATGATGCATTGTAGCCTGCTTACAGACACTGTGCATATTCCCCCTGTCCTTTGGGTCACTTGCAATTTTGATTTTTTTGAGGTCATGGTGTTTCATGGCTCACAACCACATACCTATAGCAACAACAATAACAACATTAATAATGAAGTAGTGATGTCTCATATTTCTGTATGGATTGAAAAGTGCTTTATATACTTTCTCATTTGATCCTTAAAATGATCTTGTGAGGTAGGTGCTGTTATTACCCCCCATTTTACAGATAACAAATTGAGGTTGATTGTTTAAATGACTTGTACAGAGTCACATAGCCATTAAGTAACAGAACCAAGATTCTTGTGTTAAAGAGAATGGTTTTTGTGGTACCAAGTAGTCTGGGATGATTGAAAATCCTGTACCATTTCTGAAATGTGATCCCAACTGATTTTCTTTTTCTATTCAACTTTGGATCTAACTCATTGTCTACCTGAAACACACACACACACACACACACACACACACACACACACACACATGGATAGATGAACTCAACGGGCTACACATCCAGTTTCATGTCACGATTACAATAATGTGCATTTTTCATCCACTTTGTTTTTTAGATATTAATAATGAAACTGATCTCTTTTGAATATTGGCTCAAATAGAGTAAAATCTCTGACTCTGGCTTCCCTTTTATCCATGTGCTACTTAACTGAACCGGGTATTCCAAACTGATGAAGCCCTCCTATGTAGAGGGCATAGGCCTTAGGGAATCACTAGTTCACAAACAGTATATGACTGTCACCACATTGAGACATCTTGCCACATGTTCTTTTGGTCTCCGAGGGACCAGATGGGAGAGTGTGGACAATCTGGGAAAGTTTCCAAGAATGTTTATTTGATTTTTGTGTGATTGTGTTTTGTGATTTTTTTTTCTCCCCTTAAAGACAGCTTAAATGTTAGCTGCTGGGAACATTGCCACAAAGATCTGTGACCTACACAACTTGATGAATTATGGTTTTTTAACAAAGAGTTTTGTCAAGAAAGCATTGAATGATGGGTATAGAGGAATGGAAAAGACATCCAATGACAATAGAGGTGGGAGGATGGGACACATAAATAAAGGTACGGAGGTGGTAATGAGGAGTTGTTAGTGTAGGTCCTTTGTTCTGGAAGAGGACCAGTGATGAGTGAGGAATGTGACATGTTTGTAGGAAAGTGAGGAAAGTAGCCTGATGACAAGGGCGCAGTTTAGAAAGGACATTTATAAAGTGGAGAGTATCCAGCAAAAGGCAACCAGGATGGTGAAGGTCTTTGATTTCATGCCTGGTGAGGATCAGTTGAAGCAACTGGGAGTGTTTGTCTTAGAGAAAAGAAGATTTGGAAGAGGCAAGGGGTGAAAAGCATGCTACCCATATCTGAAAGTCTAGGCTCTGTCTTTTTCTGTCTTGTTCTTGTTCTCTTTCCACATTTATGAATATGTACACATATAGATATGCACATATATGTATATGCACATATACACATAGATATACAAACATATGTTATATACATATATGTGGAAAGAGAAGCAGAAAGAGAGGGAGAAAGAGACAGAGACAGAAAGAAACTGAGACAGAGAGAGGGAGAGAGATAAAGAGAGACAGAGAGCAAGAGAGACAAAGAGAATTAGAGAGACAGATATATATATATATACATAGACACACACACATACACATACACACACACACACACACACACACACACAGAGAAAGAGAAAGAGAGAGAATTAATTTCACTTGGTCCCAAACAGAACTAGAAGCAGTGGGCAGTCATTGAAAAAGAGACACATTTATGCTTGATGTAAGAAAATTCTGAAACAATGGTTGTTCTCCCAAAGTACATTGAGCCACTTTGGAATACAGTGCATTCCTCCTCTCTTGTGGTCTTCAGGTGAATCCTAGATGCCCACTGATATAGTTTTAGCATGACAGGAGTTGGCTGGATGGTGATCGGCACTATTAATGCACATTCTGACAGCGCTGAAGGTTCACAGAACAATTATCTCACAATCTCATAAAAAAGGGTGTTTGTGTCATGAGTCCCTTTGTTAGTCTGATGAAGCCTATAGACCCCTTCCCACAATTGTTTTTAAATGTATAAAGTAAAATACATAGGATTTACAAATGAAAACCAATTATAATGAAGTACAGTTATCAAGATATTAACAGTTCACAAACCCCTGACATACAGGATATGGATCAAGGATTAGGAAACTAAAATCCTGGAACATACAATTGAGTATGAGACAGGCGGTACCACAGACAGGTAGTACACAAAGAAATGCTAACCATGGGGAGTCAGAGTCCACATTAAAAGACTTAAGATGAACCGAATTCAGTAAAAACTTTTCACTATGCTTGCGATCATCTGGGAAGCTAATATTTAAACCTCACCAGGATGTAAGGCAGTATTTATATCCTGATGGGGTTGATATCCTGGTGAGCTCCCTATATTTTGTATGGAGAGCAGTGGCAGGGTTTCCAGGATGCTGGGATAGAAAAGGACCACCCTCCACCCCTCACATGATATCACCTGGAGAGCTGCAGCTGAGGGAGCCTAGCCAGAAACTCTCCTCCTTTTAAAAGACCTACTGAGTCATCAACAGCTCTCTTCTTTTTTAAAAAAACCCACTGAGTCATCAACTTTTCGGATCAGAAGCCACTTTGGGGGCTCTTTTGTTATTTCAGATTTTGAGTCCTGTAGCCTCGAATCATACATGACTGGAAGCCAGTTAATGAAAAAAAAAAAAAAAGAAATACATAGGAGAAAACAAAAGGAAATTCAGAAGGGGTACAAAAAGACAATTTTGTTACTACTTTGTTAATAAATATACTTTTAAAAATATGTAAAAGAAATTTATTGTTTCATATGCAATCCCCTTTTTTTGTTCTTCTTTGTATACATTTGTGCTTGTTGGTGATTATTAAGTTTATAGTAAAAAATTTCAAAAAAAATCTAATTATGACATTTATGCAGTTCTGGTAAGCTGCTGAAATTTTAATTTTTCCTTATCATATTTCAGCCTTGGAAAGCTTCCATCAGGCATCTAACAGTTCAGAGTCAGAAGGAAGGACTGCCACCTTTGTGACCATCTCAGACTTCCTGACAAGGGTAAAAGAGAGGACATTCAGGTCTCTAACACACACCACTCCTTCCATGGAAGCCAGAGAAGGAACTATTCCATCTACAGAAATATCTACTCCTTCCAGTTTGATGCATACTTCAACTTCTGTATTGGAGACTGAAGGACCAAATATCTTCTCCTCTGGGAGAAATCACACAAAACTTCCACAGCCACATTTCTCCAGGACAACAACTTACCCCACTCCCTCAACCAAGTCTCCGTGTGAGTATTTACTGTAGTCTCAGAGTACCCTCACTGCTTCTCCAGACTTAACTCCTAGACTCCATTTAAGACCCCGTGAAGCTTTCTTGGATTACTCAAACCCCCAATAAGTTTAATTTATATTATTGACAATTTTCTCCATCACTTTTTAAAGCCAATTAACAAAACAATCAATGTAACCATTATTAATAATGTTTGTTGATTTCCCAGGTGTAGATACTAACACTAAAATTTAGCAATTGTCTCTTGTAAGCCAATTTGAGTTGGTTCAGCCTACTCCTGGTTGCAAAGCAGTATTAACTACAAAGCAGTAGTCTGTGTCATTTCAAGAGGGACGGTGGGGTTGGATTGGATGCAGGTTCATATCCTCTACACCTACCACAATGCCTTGCACACATTCAGTCTTTTATAAATAAGAATCATAGGATCTTAGGGTTAGAGATAAAGAGGATTTTAGTTGGAAGAGGCGTCAGAGCTCATACAACCCGACCTCCTCGTTATACAGGTGAGGAAACTTAGACTCAGAAAAATGAGTGACTTGCCCAAGGTCATAAGAGTTGCAAGCACAAGATCAGGGGTTTGAACCCAGGCCATGAGGTTCCAAATTTTGTGATCATTCCGTTATACCTGCTTTTATTTTACTCTTGTAAGTACAGGTGGAATAGAGTCTAGAATAAAACCTAAAGAAGTTATATTACTCTGGTTCCTCTGTGTCTGCTAAATAAATGAGTTTCTTGTTTTGTAGAAGAGATTTAGTGACTTGCCCAAGGTCTTACAGTTAGCATCTGAGACTTGAACCCAGGGCTCCTGAGTCCAAATCCATTCCCTCTCCCATTCCCCCTTTTTGTTTTTGCACAAGTTTTGCACACATTATTGCTAGATGCCAAGGTAGGTAGTGAGTTAGGTCTGTGATCAGGAAGATCTGAGTTCAAATCCAACCTCAGACACTTAGTAGCTGTGTGATCCTGAGCAAGTCACTTTAATCTCTGTGTGCCTCAGTTTCCTCATCTGCAAAATGGGGATGATAAGAGCATTTACCTCCCAGAGTATGACAATTAAATGAGATATTTGTAAAGCCCTTTGCAAACCTTAAAATGTTATATAAATGCTGTTATTATTATTGTCATTATTAATAAGCTACTAACAGTTTGTTATAGCTACTTAATATAGCTATTGTCATTCTTCTTCTTATTATTATCCTTCTTATTATAAATAAACACATCCATAGGTTAGGACAGCTCAGGCAGTGGGCATAAAAGAAATCTTATACACCCTCTCCTCTTTTTTTCTCTTTATAATATCTTAGTGGGAAGGCATCGTGGTGTGTTTATATTAGAAGCATGTATTAGGCAGCTAGGTGGTCTACTGGCTACACTGCTGGCCGGGGAGAAGTCATGAGTTCAAATCTAACTTAGCCTCAGATGTCTACTAGTCCTGTGACTCTAGGATGCCAGTTAACTATGCTCTGTCTCAGTTTCTTTATCTATAGAAAGGGGATAATAGCACTTAACTCCCAGGGCTGTTGGGAGGATAAAATACGATGGTTTTTGTAAAGCAAACACCATATAAATGGTGGTGGTGTGGTAGTAGTAGTAGTAAAAATACTATTTTTATATTTTATTTTATATATACTATATTTATACACTTATTTTTAATACTTTATAGGGGCAGCTAGGTGGTGCAGTGGATAGAATGCTGGGCCTAAAATCAGAGAGACTTATCTTTCTGAGTTCAAATCTAGCCTCAGACATTTACTAGCTGTGTGACCCTAGACAAGTCACTTAACCTTTTTTGCCTCAGTTTCCTTATCTATAAAAGGAGCCGGAGAAGGAAATGGCAAACCATTCCAATATCTATGCCAAGAAAATCCCACATGGGGTCACAGAAGCAACTGAACAACAAACATAACAATTAATAATAATGAGTGCTTTCTAGTGACCCTGGGTATGGAAGGGGGGAAGGGGTCGGGAATGTGGCCTTCTGGCCTAGGTTTTGAGAAACACTTAAGGTCAGAGCATCTGGAACTGTGTGGGGCCTTATTAATCTTGTAATTCAAATCCCTTGTTCTCACATGAGACCCAAAGAAGGGGGAGTGTTTTGCTCACAATCACACTGGGACCAGGTTCAAGAGCCAGGATTCAAACCCAGGTCTGCTTTGCTCCAGTGCTCTGACTGTAGAGCCTAGTAGCTTGGATTTATGTCATCTAATCAAAAAGCAACCCCTGAGTTACTTGAAGTAATCATTTTGTTTAAGCAGCTAGCTCCTTTTACATACAACTTGGACCCAGATTCTGCTGCCTCAGTTAAAGAGAGAATTCTCTGATACCTTACAGTTACTTAGCAAGCATTTATTAAATGTTTTTTGTTCTTCAGTTGTTTCAGTCATGTCCAACTCTCTGTGACCCCATTTGGGGTTTTCTTGGCAAACATAGTGGAGTGGTTTGCCATTTCCTTCTCCAGCTCATTTGACTGATGAGGAAACTGAGGCAAACAGGGTGAAGTGACTTGCCCGAGGTCACACAGCTAGTAAATGTCTGAGGCTAGATTTGAACTCAGGAAGATGAGTCTTCCTGACTTTAGGTCTGGCACTCTGTGCACTATGGCGCTACCTGGCCCAGTAAGTGCTTAATAATTAGCGCTTACAATGGGCCCAACCGTTGTAGGAGAATGTCTTTGTAAATTATTAATAAGTATCTTTTGGACTAGATGATTTCCAAGGTTCTTTCCTATGCTCTGGTTGTTTTGATTCCATAATTTAAAAATCGACCTTATTATAATTAAACTGTGGAAGGGAAGCCTTTGTTTATTGAGCTGTACTTGGATTCAGCTTCAGTTCACAAATCCCGGGATCATCGTTTCTGTTTGCCTTGATCCCATTCATTCAGCATGCTTTTAAAATAGTTTTTACCGTGTATCCAGACAAAGCTGATAAGTTTGGGACATAACACACGTACACACAAATTCCCCAGCTTAGTGTAATGGGAGGAATGCTAGATTTGGAGTCAGGACCCAAGTTTGAATCTTGGCTCATTACAGTTAGCATTTCTATAGCATTTGTAGGCTTGTAAAACACTTTATGAGTATGATCTCATTTTATTCTCATAACCAACTTTGGAAGGTAAGTTCTCTTATTATCCCCATTTGACATATGAGAAAACTGAGGCAGATAGAGGTGAAGTGACTTGCCCAGGGTCACTCAGTAAGTGTCTGAGGCTGAATTTGAACTCAGGTCTTTCTGACTCCAAGTCCAGCCCCCTAGCTGTATATGGTATTTACTGCAGTATCTGATGAGTCACCTTACCTCTCTGCATTGCGCTTTCCTCACATATGTGATAAAGGGATTAGATTAGATGCTCTCTGAGCACATCCCTTTCAGCTCGAAATCTGTAAACTGAAAATGAACTTTAAAAAAGTATCATGATCCACAGACATTTTGAGGGTTAGATCCTGAGGTCTAGCTTTTCAAAGAGCCTCTCAACCATATTTTTTTTTTTCGTCAAGGCAATCAGTGCTAAGTGACTTGCCCAGAGTCACACAGCTAGAAAGTGTTGAGTGTCTGAGGGCAGATTTGAACAAAGGTCCTCCCAACTCCAGGGCCGGTGCTCTATCCACTGAGCCCCTACCTGCCCCTGAACTACATTTTCCAAATATTTTTGAGTGTGAAATGATATGATGCTTTCTATTTCTAACATCCATCCTGAATTTGGTTAGAAGTTTTGTCCACAATTGTTGATTGTATTGATATTGTCTATAAATACTGTAGATGCCTTTCCTGGGTCATAACTGATAAACTCTAAGCTAGGGGTGGGGAGCCACATGTGGCCTCGAGACCGCAAGTTCCCCGTCCCTACCCTAAGCTATCATAGAGGGCAGGTAAGTGGCGCAGTGGATAGATAGAGTACTGGGTTTGGCTTCAGGAAGACTCATCTTCCTGAGTTAAAATCTGGCCTCAGACATGTTCTAGCTGTGTGACCCTGGACAAGTTACTTAACCCTATTTGCCTCAGTTTCCCCATTTGTAAATTTAGCTAGAGAAGGAAATGACAAAGCTCTTCAGTGTCTCTGCCAAGAAAGCCCCAGATGGGGTCACAAAGAGCCAGACATGACTGAACAACAGATTTATATCTTATCTTTTGTATTATGGTCATTAATTGCATAGGTCTTGTTTTTTCTTGTTCGATTGTATTCTTTTCGAGGGCAAGCACCATATCTTCTTTGTCTGGCCAGACATAGGGTCTTGGATTTATTAAAATGCTTCAAGAGATTTTTTTTTTATTTCTTTGGTATGGTTTAGTCCCTCCAATGACACAGATATCAGTTTCTCCGACTGTCTTGATAGATTATGTTCATTGATCACTCTGACAAAAAAGAAGCTACCTTTTGGTCATGGGTCCCTCTGCATATGGCAAGGCTGGGCTTTGGATAAGTGGTCATTGTGAAGTCCTACTCTGAGCCCTTCCATCTTGGGAAGACTTGCTAATGCTTGTGTTCATCAGCATGTCCTGTGAGAACTCAGTCTCTACACTACAATGAACTCTCAGAATGTGGTTACACATAGTAGATGCTTAATAAATATTTGCTGAATGAATGAGGAAGTTAGGTGGCATAGTGAGAAGAATATTGCACTTGGAGTCAGGAAGATGTGAGTTCAAATCCAGCCTCATACTTACTAGCTGTATGACCTTGGCCAAGTCACTTAACCACTGTTTGCCTTTGTTTCCTCATCTGTAAAATGGGAATAATAAGTGGGCCTACCTCCCACAGTTGTTGTGAGGATCAAATGAGCTAATATATGGCAAGTGCTTTGCCAACTGTAAAGAGTCAAATAAATGGTAGCTATTATTATTATTATTTTTTTTTTAGGCAGTTGGGGTTAAGTGACTTGCCTAGGGTCACATAGCTAGTAAGTGTCAAGTGTTTAGTCTGAGGTCGGATTTGAACTCAGGTCCTCTTGACTTCAGGGCCAGTGCTCTATCTACTGTGCCACCTAGCTGCCCCTGGAAGCTATTATTATTCAATGAATTTTCCTTCTATTTCAGCCCCCAAAATTAGGACAGAAGCTAGGAACTCAATTGCTTTAAATGCTTTGGCCAGTCAAACAGACAGGACAAACATTTCTACCACATTCATCCAAGATGCCTCAAAGACTTCAGCTAATAGAAGTTGGTTGGTAAATGGACCAGAAGGCTCAACCAAGTATTCCAGAATGGCCAACTCTTCAGCATCAACCCATGCCTCATCTTCCTTAGGGGAGGCCAGAAGAAAAAGTACAGTGACAAGGAAACCGAGTGATGCAAAATCCATCGAGCCTTCAACAGATGACACATTTGAACATCCTTCTTCCAGGACCTCTGCTCTGTCTTTACAAAATGATTCCTCAAGTGAGTGCCTGATTCACCACATGTTGTAGAGCAAAGTCAAATCCAACTGAATTGATATTTTGGTAATAAATAGGACAAGGTATCTCCATGGTCCTACAGCTGACGTATGTCAGAGACAGCATTTGGACCAGGATTTCTTGAGCCAGCTTTCTATTCAATAGTGTGTGTGTGTGTGTGTGTATGCACATATATATGTGTGTGTGTATATATGTATATGCATATATGTGTGTGTATTTACACACACACATATACATCTGTACATTTATATGTATATACACACATAAATATATATACTGTATATACATATGCTGTAGATTTTTTTAAATTTCTTTTATTTTCAGTTCACAGAACAAAACAAGCATTATCATAGCCCAGTACAACAAAAAAGATCGTTGTACATGAAACCGCAAATCTACCCTGTACAACTTGCTATTCTCTCTAAATAGACAACAAAATTATCATGTAAATTTCCTTTTTTTTCCTTTTTTTCTCCCCCCCCTTCCCCCAAGACAGTATGGCATAGTAGCTAAGAAGGCAAACCCTGGAGTGAGCAGACCAGGGTTCAAGCCTTGCCTCTGACACATACTAGCTGTGTGACTATGGACAAGTCTAACCTTTCAGTGCCTGGGCAGCTAGCATTATAAATAATAATAAGTGCCATTTGTATAACTCTTCAAGGATTGCTAAAGTGCTTTATAAATATTATCTCATTCTATTCTTATAACAATACTGGGAAATAGATGTTATTATTAGCCCCAATTACAATTTTACAGATAAGGAAACACAAAGTAAGTGACATGTCCAAGGTCACAGAGCCAATAAGTATCTATAGTTGGATTTGAATGTAGGTCTTCCTGACCTCAGATGAGTCCAGTGCTTCATCCACAGAGTTACCTACTTTTCAGCCTGCATCAGTGAAGGGAGCTTCTAGACCAGGAGTTTCTCACAGTGATTAAAAAAAAAAATCACAGGTCCAGAACCTCCTTCCCCCTAATGAATGGACAAACCTATTTACCTACATGAGAGGCAGCATGGAGTAGTGTCTAGAGTCTAGATGGCTGTCCAGGAAAATGGAAGAGCGGGGTTGGAGTCTTACTTCTGACAGCTACTAGTTATGTGACTAGTCAGTGCCTTAGGGAGCTTTTGTATAAGTTTCATTGAGGATGGTAACCTGCATGGGTAGAGGGAGTTTTATCATCTGGGAATCCCCTATGGTAATGAAATCATAGGTCTGGTCCTTATCCCTATATACATATATGTTGAAAGAGAAAGAAGTTATTTTTAAGGAAACCTTAGTGAGTGCTAATTTTTCACTCACCCAGGTATTGCTGCTGAAGAAGACCCAATGAAATATGCTGATTTTTGCAGGCAGGATTTATCTGTTCCCTGTATTTTTTTTGCAGCCTTTAAAGGAGACCATCAGTTGCCTATTAGTGATGCTGATGCTGGGGATGACAATTCTAGGACTCAAACTGAGGCTGGACTCCATTTAGAGACTTTCACCAGAGATGGGAAGGACATGTCCCATTGGTTCACAGCCAACCAAAGAGCTTTGGTGGATGTGAGGGAAAACTCTACTTCGTATCCTGAAATTGTGAACCCTTTAGTCCTGACCCAGCTCTCCACGCAGTGGACAGAAAGTCGCACGGATCCAGATGATGCACATCTCCTTGAGCCTTCCACAGGATCTTTGTCAGCGTCTTCCTCAGAGACGCTGGATTCTTCATCACAGAGACATCCTTTATGTGAGTTTTCACTTCCCAAAACTTGTTTTTTCTCAACTACGCACTTAAAGAAAGCTGAGCTTGTTTTATTTAGGATAACTCTGATCTCTGTAAACCCTAGCTCTTTCTACAAAATCAATCAAGCAACCAGCATTAACCCAGCATCCATTCTTTGCCCGACACTATTCTAGAAGCTGGGGATAAAAATACCAACTCAACACCGAATTCAAACCCCACCATTTTCAGGAGGCCTTTCCAGATCCTCCCAGCAGCTAGTGTTAGTTACTTTCCATCTATTCTGTATTCATCTTGTATGCTCCTAATCGTTTACATGTTGTCTCTCCAACTAGAATATAAGCTACTTGAGGGCAGGAACTATTTTTGCCTTTCTCTGTATCCTCAGTGCTTAGCACAGTACCTGGTACATAAGTAAGACCTTAATAAATGCATGTTGGTTGATTAATGAAATGTTTCCTTGCTCACAAAGATCTTTCAGTGGTCCAGCCGATTGGCCAGTCATCTGCGTGTCTCTTAGTCAGTGATTCCCACCAGTACAAGACAATCGTCTAATAAATACCTTGTTTGGTAGATCTCTAAGAAGGTTCCTCTTGCCGGGTCCTCTCTCCACCACTCTCTCTATGTCCCAGTGCCCCCTACCCTTCTTGGTCATGGTCTTCATAGGCAGTGCTCCTCCTCACCTGAGACCCCTTCTCTTTGTGATCTCAAAGCTTTGGAGTGAAAACAAAAAAGTTGAAGACTTCTAATCATTTCTCAAGAAACACCCTTATTACCAACCCTGACATTTTTCTTCCTTTTTGTTTGTATGGCAACCAAACTGTGTTTTCTAGCATGTTCATCAGTACAAATCAGAGTATAGGGCATCATATTGAACTTGTGATCTCACTCGCATAGGGTACTTCCAGGTGAGGAAAGCCTCTCTACCAGTGCAGGTTGGCACTTTCTCTGCAAACTTATGAAAATTGCACAGAGCACTGAGAGGTTAGGTAACTTTCAAAAAGCTAGAGAGTTAGTAAGAGAAGCAGGATTTGAACCCAGGTCTTCTGACTTTAAAGTCAGCACCCTTTACCATGATGCCTTGAGGGATCATGCTTCATCCCCAGCATCTAGCACAGTGCCTGGCACATAGGAGGTCCTTAGTAAATGCTAGCTGGTTGATTGATAATTGACTGAAAGCAGCTTTACCAGAAGTTAGCTCAAAGCTCCCCCATGTGTGTCTGTTTTGCCCCTAACACTGGCTTGCTCATTCCTTGTGCCTCTTGCCCTTTAGGGGCAGAAGTTTCACACCCACGGCCTCTGTTTCAGGTCAAAGCTGCTACCTCTTCAGACTCCTAAACCCAGATTGGAGGTTTTCTTGGATTCTTCCCAGCACTGCACAGTCAAATCTCAGCTCCCTGGGCCCTGGTTCTCTACCTGCAGAAATTTGCTGAGTGGTGGTTTTCTGCTCCTAAGGCTTTTTTCACTGTCCTCCCGCTGGTCAGCTAGTTGGCATTGCAGCCACCCTTCAACCTGATTCAGTCATTCTCTTTTATGGCCTTTGAGTCTCTCCAAAATAGCTTTTACATCTCTCTTTCTCTCTCTCTCTCTCTCACCCCTCTTCTCTTTCTCCTTCCCTCTCACTCCATTCCCAGCCCTCTCTCCCTGGCCTTACCTCCCAGATCCCAGAATCTATTACATAAAGTTGTCTATCAGTTTTAACTCATCATGAAATCAGGGCAGCAGTTCTCAAAGTGTGATCTGGGGCTCCCTGAGACTCTTTCAGGGCATCCATAAGGTCAAAACTATTTTCATAATAATGCTGAGACATTTTAGTCTCTAATATGGTCAATATCAATAGATATGATTCACCTAAACAAAAACTCTTTGGGGAGAAGAGTCCTCAGTAATTTTTAAGAGTATAAAGGGGTCCTCAGACCAGAAAGTTTGAGGACTGCTGAATTAGCATATCCAGAGTCTACCTTTAGAAGCAGCTGGGTAGAGGAGATAAAGAGCCAGCCTTGGTGTCAAGAAGACTTGGGATCAAGTCTCAGCCTAGACAGCTTGGTGAATAGAGTGCTGGACCTCAAGTCAAGAAGACCTGAGCTGAAATCTTGCCTCAGGCACTTGTAGCTATGGGGGTACGTAGGCCCTGGGCAGGTCTCCCTCAGTTTTCTCACTGATTAAATGAGGATAATAACCACACTTACCTGACAAAGGTTATTGTAAGGATCAAACGAAATGAAGCACTTTGTACACCCTTAAACACCATATAAATGTTGGCTATTATCATTAGCTCTAATCCCTCCTTGCTTGTGTGTCCCTGGGTGAGCATTTTGTTTGACCACTGAACGACACAATCAATCAATCAATCAATCAATAAGCATTCATTAAGCACCTACTGTATGCCAGGCCAGGCTCTGTACAAGGCAGTGGGAATAAAAACATAGAAATTAAACTTTGCTTGCCATCAAGAGACATAGATTCTATGTAATTTAACTGGACAGCCCTGACCCACATCAGTTGAAAAATGCCTTAACATAGTGAATTTTTCATTGTAATTTTAAGTAGAATGGGAACATTCACTTAGACATAAATGTTGGAAACAAAAATCTGCATTTTTACAATAAAAGTAGTATTTATAAAAAAAAAACAAGTATGATAAAAATAGCATTTCAAACTGTACAATCACCAGAGCTTCCTTGTTATCAAAAATTCCCAGGAATTACATGTAAGACCTCCAGTGTTCTGTGCCTCATCTGTTTCTGGCATCTCCATTTCCTGGACGGTTATTCCCATACATAGCCACCTCTCTTAGTGCCCCAGGAAGGACTCCAAGAGCGAGTTGGGGTGCAGGTGCTAACCTGTATTGGAAGAGGTGACTTCCTCACTGAAGAGTTCCCTAGAGCAGTGAAATCACAGCTCCAGAACTGTGACTGCAGGCCATGCCCAGCAGAAGACGCCTGCCTTTACATTTGGTAAATTTCCATCCCTCTGGACCCAGTAGCTACTATTTTGTTGTTGTTGTTCAGTTGTTTTCAGTCATGCCTGACTCTTGGTGACCCAATCTGGGGTTTTCTTGGCCAAGATACTGGAGTGGTTCTTTCGTTCTCCAGTTCATTTTTCATATGAGGAAACTGAGGCACACAGGGTTAAGTGATTTGCCCAGGGTCACACAGCCAAATCTGTGGCCAGATTTGAACTCAGGAAGATGAGTTTTCCTGACTGGAAAGGCCTGGCTGGCACTCTATCCACTGTGCCAGCTGCCAGCTACTATATAATGTCCTAAATAAATTAGAGAGGGAGATATTTGTTTGCAACATGTCCCTGCCCTCATACCCACACATACCCCTTAGCACCGTAAGCGTAACTAATTCCAAGCCAGGCACCCATTTCTTACTGAAGTGTTCAACCAAAGGAATAATGATTCCTTGAGAGATAAGCAGCCCTGAGTAGGTGATTTCATAAATTACCAGCCCCACCAGGAAGTGTTTTCCCTGCCTCTTCTGAGTAAATTGTTCTTTACATTGAACCATATTAATATATCTTTTAAAAAAACATTTTTTCTAATTACAAGTAAAATTTTTTAACATTCATTTTTAAGATTTTAAATTCCAAATTCTCTCCCTCTCTCCTTCCCCTTCTCTTTCTCTGAGACAGCAAGCAATTTGATATAGGTCATAGATGTGTAAAATATATTTTGATATCAATCACTTTGTGAAGAAAACACAGAGCAAAAAAACCCCAAGAAAAATAAAGAAAGTAAAGAATAATATGATTTGATCTGCATTCAGACTCCATCCTTTCTTTCTCTGGAAGTAGATAGCATTCTTTACCATGAGTCCTTTGGAATTGTGTTAGGTCATTGTATTGCTGAGAATAGCAAGTCATTCTTGCTTATACAAGGCTTTGATCGTTGTACAATATTACTGTTACTATGTGTGATGGTCTCCTGTTTCTGCTCACCTTACTTTGTTTCAATTCTTTTAAGTCTTTCCAGTTTTTTTGGAAAACATCCTGCTCGTCATTTCTTATAGCACAATAGCATTCCATCACAATCATATACCACAACTTGTTCAGCCATTCCCCAATTGATGCTTATCCCCTCAGTTTTCAATTCTTTGCCACCACAAAAGAGCTGCTATAAATATTTTTGTACATATAGGTCCTTTTCCTTTTATCTCTTTGGCATACAGATCTAGCAGTGGTATTGCTGGGTCAAAGTTTATGCACAGTTGTATAGCCCTTTGGGCATAGTTCAAATTGCTCTCCTGAATAATTGGATCAGTTCACAACTCCACCAACAGTGCATTAGGGTCCCAATTGGAAACACTAAATTTTGATCAGAGGTTAAGTGAAAAGATATAATGTTCTTCCCATTCAAGTCCATGGGTCTCCCGCAATCTATCCATAGATCCTTTGGCCGGGGGGGGGGTCGTCTGTGGACTCTGGTTAAGAACCCTTGATCTGGTTCAGCCCAAAGTTTTCAAGCCTATAAACCTATTAACTTCAAAGGTTTTGACTACTGATTTCTCCTTTGCAATGTTCATTTTGGTTTTCCACAAAGCTAACTTCCAATGAAAACCCTGTGTAAATACCTAGAACGCTCCACACAAGGGTATTCATTGCCAGCTTTCAGAGTTAAATACTATTGTTTCCTAAGTTTATCTCACTCCTCTTTGATTCCCATTCTAGACACTGAAGGGAACCATGAGCTGGGGAGAAGGTCAGATTCAGAAGAAAGTACTTCCAGTTTTCTTCATCCCAGTCCAGACACCTCAGCTACTTCATCTAGGAATGGAGAGAGGACATTGCGATCTCTTACCAATAGCAGCCTGCCTTCTGATGGAGAGGAGCACTTCACAATGCTTCTCCGTGGCACAGAGGGCACCATTCCTCACTTGGGAGTCACAGACACCACTGACTCTGTCTCAGCTTCGTCAGACACATTGCAGACCCAAGACGGTAAGCTGTCTTCTCCAGGATCATTGCCTCCACATTTCTCCGCCCTGTTTGATTTGTACATGGTTCTAGAATAACTACCATTTATTTAACACTGTAATGCTTGTGAAGCACTTTTACAAATATTATTTCAATTTGATCTTTACAACAAACCTCTGAGATAGGTGCTGTCACTGTTCCCATTTTACATATGAGGAAACTGAGGCACAGAAAAGTTAAAGGACTTCTTCAGTATCACACAACTAGGAAGGGGCTGATGGTGGATTCAGACTCAGGTTTTCCTGCCTCAAGTTAGTTTTTGATTCAGAAAGGAATCTTTCAAGTTCTTGTAAGCTTACAATCTTACAACTCTCAGGGTATACCCTACCTAAGGAATATGTGATAGTAACATCAGGTATTTATGCCAAGACAATAATAACTTTAACCATTAGCTTTCAGAGATGTTCTTTTTACAAAACCATGAGTGATCAGTATCTGTTTCCTCTCCACTTGCCTGGTCATAAGATAAGGGATTTAGAGATGGAAGAGATCTCAGAGGCTACTGAATCCAAACCTCTCATTTTATATAGATGAGGAAGCTGAGGCACAGAGTAGTCAAATGACTTACTCAGGATGGCACAGCTAGTAAGTATTTGAATTGGGACTTGAAACCTGGTATTCCTGGACCCAAGTCCAGTGCCCTCTAGGCCAACTGCAAAACTCCTGAGTGTGTAGCCTGAGCCAGATTTAAATGTAATGGAGAAATATTGAATAAATAAAAATACAATAGAACGCAGAAAATGTTAATATGTGGTTTTTCTAAGTCAATATATGGCTACAGGGATCCTTATGGATGGTTTAGTAGTGCCTTTGAGGTTGAAGTTTCTAGCCATTCACTCACTCTTGACCAAAAAAGGAGAGGCTCCTTAGGAGAAGAATTTGGCTGTGGGCACTTCTTTGTAAGTACCTGGCTGTGATTCGTAGTCATCGCCATTTCTTCTGCTGCCACCTCGGTTTAGGAAAGAAGTCAAAGTTGGAAGCCTGAGACAGGAATCAAGATGGCTACAGCAGGCCCTGCCTTACCCTTCCCAACTAACTCGGTTCAGAGGGTTTTGCCATTCATTAGTGATCAATTCACTGAAAAAACTGTTGAGCTCCAACTGAGTTTTAATAATTTAAAAAAAAAATATATATATATATATATATTTCTGATTTGCATATCATTTATTTCATAGAATCATAGATTTAGAAGGGACTTTAAACACCATCAACCCCTTCTTTTTTTCCTCCTCCTCCGACTTCTCCTCCTCCTCCTCCTTCTTTTCTTCTGTCTCTCCCCAGATAAGAACTGAAGTAGCCACTCACAGGCCCAATTCCACTGCTGATTGACACAAAAGCTTTGACTTGCTCCTTTTCTGAACTGGACCAATTTGTCCCTCCTTAGGCAGCCTGTTGGCCCCACATCTCTTAGGGGCTCAACACATGGGTATAGGACCATGTCTCAGACCAGTCTGCTTTAGCCCTATTGGAGATCACAATTCCCAAGCTCAAACCATCCACGAACCTCAGCCTCCTCCGCAGCAGGGATTACAGGCATGTGTCACCAAACATAGCACCATCGCTTTCTTTTAACAGATGAGGAAACTGAGGCACAGAGAGGCCAAATAATTTGTCCAGAGTCACACAGCTAGTATCTGAGGAAGGATTTAAGCCCAGTTCTTTCCTTACTCTAAGTCCATTTTTCTTGGTGTATTATTTTTTTAATCTCACCTTTGTTTCCAAATATATCCTTCCCCTTCCTCTACCCGGTGAGCAATCCATTATGACAAAGAATTGATAAAAAAAACAAAACGTACACACCTACAAAACCAAATATGACAGTGTATACAGTATTCTATACTTTATCCTGCCCCTCCCCTATTTCTATATAGAAGAGAGAGAGGTATATCTTCTAAAGTTGGGTGGTGATAGTTTAAAATCAGACTCATGGGAGGTTCTGCCTTGTTTGATTGACCTGATTTTGATTCTTATCTTCTTAGCCACTGGAAGTAACCACGGACCAATGAGCAGCACACATATAGGTAAAAGGACACCCAGCTACCATACAGACAGCACATATATTTCATCAACCTTCGCCAAAGTGAAAGACAGGACATTATTGTCTATTACAAATAATAGCACGTCTCCAGACACCATTAAAACCTCAACCACCTACAACAGAACCTCTGGCTCTTTGGCTTTGGAACAGTCTTCTTCTTCTGCTGCTCTTCCCAAAGGAAACAACATCTCATCAAGCGAAGGGGAATTTGTCCTTCCTTCCACTGAACCACTGGTTGTGAGTTCTTCTGATTTACCAGCATACACATCTACAGTCAGTGTTCCCCCCAACACTTTGTTACTTCAAGCCTCTGAATCTGTATCCACTGATGACTCCTTTTCATCTTCATCATTGTCACCTTTGCCATCCCCCTCAGTGTCACAGCCCAGTCAACCATTTTCCTCAACCCTATGGCCAACACTGCCTTCTTCTCCACTCTTGTTTTCCATGGCTAAATCCTCCAAGTCCACATCTTCCTCACTGCCACCTTTATCAACCTACTCGGCAGAATCCACCCCACCCCCAACAATATTCCAACAGTCGTCTTTACCGCACTTGTCTTCTACCTCAGTCCTCCCCAGTGATGATCCTCAGGCAAGAGAGTCCTCTGTGACGTCACCTGATACACTGACAGATTTATTCACTACTGTGGTTCACGGTAGCCCATCAGTAGATCAGAAGAATCAGAGTGTTCCCTACCAGGAGGAAACCAGTACAGGGTCAAACTTACAACCTCCAAGTCTTCCACCAACAGAATCAACCGAAGTGCTACATAATTCTACAGCCAAGGCCCCTTTACCTTCAGTCCCAACAGAGTCCTTCAGAGAGCCAACCCTCCTGGCCGCCACCACTAATTCAGCCCAGCCATCAGCAGTTATGACAACCACAACTCATGCAACTATTCAGCCTTCAACAATCTCAACTGAGCTCCCGCCTCCAATGAGTGTTCTTACAACTGTGAAAGCAACAACCCAGAAAACCGTTCTGCCCGTTGGACCCAGGACCACGATGTCTCAGAGAACCACTGAAGGTCCTGCCACCACTGAAGCCAGCAGAGTGGAGACAGAGGCCACCACCAAATCGATCCGCACCACTGGTATATTCACACCTGGGCAAGAACCGAGCTCAGGGGGAGGAGATCAAGAAGAGAACGCTGCCACTGCCCATTTGCCTGTGGTATCATCTGTTTCCCCCCAAACTACAGAGGCTTCTACTCCTGCGCCCTTGACTCTTAAGCCAGCCACTGTAGTCCCACTGAGCAGCATGAGACCAACAATGACATCACCTTCAACAACAGGTAAAATTCACTCTCAGGCATCAGTAACTAGCAAGTACACAGCTGACGCACATTCTATGCTAGGTCCTAGGTACATGAGAAATGAAAAGAGTTGAAGCAGCCAGGTGGTGCAGTGGATAGAGCACCAGCGCTGGAGTCAGGAGGACCGAAGTTCAAATCTGTCCTCAGACACATAATACTTAATAGCAATGTGACCCTGGGCAAGTCACTTAACCCCCTTGCCTAGCCAAAAAAAAAAAAAAAAAGAAAGGAGTTGATGGTCTCTGGTACATGGGAAATGAAAAAAAAGATTTGATGGTATCTAAAGTCTCTTTCAGCTCTAAATTTATGAGCCTGTCTATCTGCTTTTTTTTACCTCTGGCCTACATAATTCTAGGACTGTATAAATCAATTATTTTTTTTTGGAAGGAGTCACTGAATTGTTAATTTTTGGGGAGTGCTTATTGGGAATCATATCTTAGCAAAATAAAATGTAGCAAAAAGTTATGAAAATAATTTTTACATATATGTAGAAGAATTGAGCATTAAAATTGGAGGTCAAGAAAAGGTCACCTCAGTTACCTGTTTTCTCAGGATATCAGCTCCTCCCTTCAAACCACAAAGGCTAATCATTGGCTCTTATCAAGTTATTAATTCAATTATTCCTTCCCCTCCCCCCAAATAATTGAATTATATAGCCCCAGAATTTATAGGCTAAAAGTAAAAGATGAGGATTGATAGGTTCATAGATTTAGAACTGTTAGGACCTTAGAGACCTTTTTTGTAGATTTCTTCCATTTCCCATATATCTGGGATCTCTCGCAGACCATAACCCATCTGGGACCCCAGCAACATATAAAATCATGTACTAAGGCAGAGAGGGGTTTAAATTTGCATTGGTGGAGGGTATAGTGATGGTTGCTTGAAGTATGTTGTAGTGATTAAAACTACCTCCTGTTCATAGAGCCTGAGGGGTCATAGATTTAGAGCTGAAAGGACCTCAGAGGTCATCAGATCCAATGTCTTCATTTTACATTTAAGGAAACTGAGGCCCAGAGAGGTTAAGCAACCAAAGTCATGTAGCCAATAAGTGGCAAAGCCAGGATTTGAACACAGGTCTTCTGACTTTGAAATCTGGTGCTCTTTCCACTGAAGCATTTAAAAATTTTATTTTGTAGTTTTTTAATCTACCTGAGTCTTTTCTATTTAGAAGGCATAATTATTTTTGTTTTAAAATTATTTTCATAATTTAAATTGATATATTTTATTTTGCTACAACAGATAATTCCCAATATTCTATCATTCTCCCCATCCCTTTAAAAAAATCAATGGCCTCTGTAAATATATGCCTAGCAGTGGAATCTCTGGATCAAAATGGACATTTTAGTTATTTTATTTGCACAATTCCAAATTGCTTTCTGTAATAGTTGTAATAATCCATAGCTCTACCAACAATGCATTAGTACATGGTCTGCTAAAACAAAACAAAACAAAAAACTTTTCTAATTGATCCTGTCACTAATTGAATAACTAATTATCAGCAGAAAGGAGAAATGAATCCTTTTCCTTTTATGATATGCTACTAATATTGACTCATGTAATTGACCTGAGTTTTGTTTGTCCTATGTCATTCTTACTAGTGAGAGTTGTTTGTATTCAAAGTGAGAATTGGGACAGGGATTTATCAAGAGACATCCTTTAGTAGCTTACATTGCCAACATGCTCTTTAATCATTTAACTCTTTGTGTAAGCTGTATTCTATATCCCTGTCTCCATTCCATCCTCCTGCCTTCCAGCTTCCATGATCCGATCCATGTGGCTGTTCTGACCTATTAGAAGAAGTCCATTAACCAGTTCTGACCCATCATAAAATCGTTTATCTGTGTTATGACCTCTGTTTCCTAGAGTGAAAATTATACTAGCCAGAGGCAAAAGATGCAGACAGATAGGCTCCTAGATTTAGAATGGGGACTTTAGAGACCATCAAGTCCAACCCCTTATTTTACAGATGAGGAAACTAAGGCACAGAGGAAGTTAAGTGACATGCTCAGTGTCACACACCAAAGTGGGATTCAAACCCAGATCTTCTTGACTCCTCCAGAGCCCTGTTTACCATCCTGTGTGGCTTCTCTGATAAGAGTTTTTATTTTGTAAGTTACTAATATTAGCTAATATTATTGTGAATAATAAATAATAATATTATTAATGGGGGTAGCTAGGTGGTACAATGGATAGAGGGCTGGGCCTGAATTCAAGAGGATTTATCTTCCTGACTTCAAATCCAGTCTCAGACACCCTTCCTAGCTGTGTGACCCTAGGCGTGTCACTTAACCCTGTATGCCTCAGTTTCTTCATTTATAAAATAAGCTGGAAGAGGAAAGGGCAAACCACTCCAGTATTTTTCCAAGAAAACCCCAGAAGGGGTCATGGAGAGTTGGACATGACTGAAACACAATATTATTAATTATTAGTTGTTGTTTAGTTATTTTCAGTTATGTCCTGCTCTTTGTGACCCTTTTTCAGATTTTCTTGACAGAGATACTAGAGTGGTTTGCCTTTTCCTTATCCAGCTCATTTTACAGATGAGGAAACTGAGGCAAACAAGGTTAAGGGACCTGCCCAGTGTCACATAGATAGTAAATATCTAAGGCTGGATTTGAAGTCAGGAAGATAAGTCTTCTGATTCTAGGCCCTGTGCCTGATCTACTGCTCTGCCTAAGAGGAGGCAATTTTACTCATTTTGAGGATGCATGTCTTTAATCATGTCACTGCTCCCTCACTCCAGCAATGTCACTGCACCACTGCTGTATTTGCCCTGGGCAATGGATTTATTCCTGTGATGACCAGCCCTCTGAGACTGAGCCTCTCTGAAATCACCCAGGGCCCTCTTGGTAGGGAATCCTCATCTGTGAAATGAGGGGCTTGAACTCCATCTTTGAGGTCCCTTCTAGTCCTAAATCCTATGATTCAGGTCTTCCCATTTCCAAAATCAGTCCTCTACTCACCTTTCTCTGTCTATCCCATGGTGCCTTGCAGGAAACTTACCTTCTCCTTATCTGCAGGATAAAGCCAATTATATTATTTTTATTGAGAAAAGGAGTGGAACAAGAGAGATATTTTGGCACCATGTCCAAAATATGCCTTGACTTGGTTTACCAAACTGACCTCAGTAAAGGAAATGTATTCAAAGTTAAATGACTTAAAATGGCATTCAAGATGCTTTTGGAGGGAGGTTGAAAGAGAAACCCTTTGCAATGACTAAATTAAGGAGTTTAAATGCCCTTTTTATGCTGGAGCTGGAGCTGCCCCAGCTGATGATGCTTGATGGGTCAGTCGTCTTAAAGCCTGACTTACTCTATAAGGGGGTTTGCAGCTGCTGCCACACTTCCCTAATCATGGGCATTTTCAGCAGAGAGTAGGATGTGCCACCCCACTCTATGGCCTTCTCCTTAACCCCCACCCCAGGTGGTGATTTTCAACTTTTCAGAAAAACGGAAAGCAAATCTCCTAAAAGACTTAGAGACTTATGCTTTAGTACCAATGTAATTCATTCTCCTAGAGCCATTAGCAGCTAGCAGTTATATAATGCTTTAAGATTTGCAAATATTATCTCATTTTATCCTCATAATAGTCCTGGGAAGTAGGTGCCATTATTACCGCCATTTTACAAATGAGGAAATTGAGGCACAGCAAAGTTAAGTGACTTGCTCAGGGTCACGTAGCTAGCCAGCTGGATTTGAAATCAGATCATCTTGATTCTATGTCTAGCATTCTAAACACTGTGCCACCTAGCTGCACCAAAGGCAGGGGGATTTGTATTTATATTAGAGCAAAAATGGAATTCACAAGTCTAGCCCAAGACTGATAGATCATAAATTTAGAGCTATAAAGAACCTTAGAGCTCTCCTATCCAGCTCCTTCATTAGATTAGAAAACGGAGGCCTGTTGTGGTTTCTTGGTTTGCCCAAAGATCACACAGGAAGTAAAGCTGTCAAAATCAGAATTCGAACCCTTATCCTTCCTGTTTTGCATCAGAAGCTGATCATTTCACTGCAGATAGTGAAGTTAAGCTAGGCATTTCCATTCTCCTGATCATTTATTAAACACCTTTATTAAGCAGCCTCCTGGGCCCAGAGCTGTGTTCGGTGCCCAGACACAACAACAGACAGGGTCCTCAAACGCTGGGTATGGGTTGCAGTCCGGTACACATACGTGTTAAAGGCCCATATGTTGCATGGGTAGCTGAAAATTTTTTAAAATTCTGATAATTCTGGTATTTATGACATCAATCACGAGTGCAAGGGGGTATAGGGAATTCTAGCTCATTTTCATAACTGTCTTCACAGAATTGAGAACTCACTAATTTCTGGAAACTTATTTGTGGGTAGAGGGCACTATGGCTACTGATAAGGACCCCAATAAAGGGAAGGCACAAAGTGACAGAAAAAGATGGGCGATTGCAGGTTATAATTCTTTCCCCTCCTCCAGATTTCTCTATTTCTGTCGGGAGTGCTAACATATCTCTGCATCCTATTTACTCAGTTTCAAAACTCCACAGACATGCTCAACACTTCCTTCTTCTTCTTCCTCTCTCCTTATATCTCCCTATTTGCAAAGCCTTTTTGATTCCACTTCCAAATCTTTTGCATCCATCCTTTTCTCTTCACTCACATGATTGTCACCCAAGTTCTGGTTTTCCTCAGCCGGACCATGACAGTTGTCTCTGGATGGTCTCCCTGCCTTGACCTCTCTTTTCTCCAGTCTGTGATCTACATAGCTACAAAAATAATCTTCCTAAGACATGTCACTCCCCTTCTCAAAAGCCTTATATAGCTGGCTGTTCCCACTAGAATAAAACACATACTCCTTAACCTTGTATTTGAGGTTCCCTACAATCAGGTTTCAACATGCCTTTCTAGTTTTATTTCATATTATTCTCTTTCACGTGCACTAGACTCCAGCCAAACTTGACTACTAACTCTTTGGTGGTGAATTTAACATTTCATTTCAGACCTGTAGGCATTTTCATGAGTGGCCTTCTCCCATCCTCCCCAGACCTGGAGTGTACTCCCTTACCTCTGTCTCTCAATCCTTCATCTTCCCCCAAGGCTCACCTCAATCATGGAGTGTCCATCAAGGACCGTCTCCTTTGTGTTCCGAATGACTAGCACATTGGAAGTATTGAATAAATATGTCTTGAATCAAATCTAATATACTTAAATTATATACATTTTGTGTTCTCCCAGTTGAACATAAACTCTCTGAGACCCAGCAGAGTGCCTTGTATAGAATAAATTCTTATTAGGTGTTTGTTGAATTAAATAAAATTATAATTCTGAGGAGTAGGCTCTCTCTGTGGTATATTTTAATTAATTTTTAAAAAATGTTTTTATTTTTTCTCAATTACATGTAAAAACAACATTCATTTTTAATAATTTCGAGTTCCAAACTACCTCCCTCCCTCCCCCCCTTGAGAAGGCAAAAACTTTGATATAAATTTTTCATGTGCAATCATGCAAAAGATATTTCCATATTAGCCATTTTACAAAAGAGAATTCAGACCAATAAGAAAAGGAAAAAAAATAAGAAAAATAAAGTTAAAAATCGTATGCTTTGATCCGCATTCAGACTCCATCAGTTCTTTCTCTGGAGGTAGATAGCATTTTTCCTCTTAAGTCCTTTGGAATTGTCTTGAATCGTGTTTCTGAGAATAGCTAAGTCATTCACAGTTGTTCATCGTATAATATTACTATTACTATGTACAATGTTTTCCTGGCTCTCCTCACTTCACTTTGCATCAATTCATGTAAGTCTTCCTAGGTTTTTCTGAAAGCTTCCTGTTTGTCATTTCTTATAGCACAATGGCATTCCATTACAATCTTTTACCATAACTTGTTCAGTCATTCCCCAATTGATGGGTATTGCTTTGATTTTCAAATCTTTGCTACCATAAAAAAAAACCACTGCTATAAATATTTTTATACGTATAAGACTTTTTCTTTTTTCTTTGATCTGTTTGTGATACAGACCTAGTAATGGTATTGCTGGGTCAAAGAGTATTCATGGCTTTAAAGTCCTTTGGACATAGTTCCAAAATACTCTCCAAAATTGTTAGATCAGTTCACAATTCCACCAACTGTGCATTAGTGTCTCAATTTTTTTCTGTGGTATATTAAAAAAAATTTTGTGCTTGTTTTGTCTTTTCATCACTTGACATGTGTTATTAATCCACACTGATCCTAACAGGATTCTCCAGGTATTATAAAGGCATCTCATTATCCTTAGTCTGAATATAGTTGTCATCACCCTGCCTCAGCTGAGAGATCTTAAAGTAAATAGTAGGCGATATAGAAATGCTTATTCCTCCATCCCCACCATCCACAGAGGTCCCATCTCTAGCTTCACTTGTGTAACTCTTGGAAGCTCACTCCATCCTAGTGTGCCCCTTAATGAGTAAGGGAATAGCAGTAGGTAGAATGCACTGCTGTTTGGGAGAACTGAATATTTCTGTTAAACCACGTCTAAATTGTTCATCCTGATTGATTCTCAAAACCTGGTTTTAGTCAACAGATGTGCTGCAAACCCTTGTCTTCATGATGGAAAGTGCGTTGTGGATTCCACGGGTCGTGGATATCGGTGTATCTGCACACCTTCGTGGCAAGGCGATGATTGCAGTGTGGGTAAGAGCCAGGGCGGGGTCCTTCCTTCCTTCCTTCCTTCCTTCCTTCCTTCCTTCCTTCCTTCCTTCCTTCCTTCCTTCCTTCCTTCCTTCCTTCCTTCCTTCCTTCCTTCCTTCCTTCCTTCCTTCCTTCCTTCCTACCTCTCTTTATATCTTGGTCTTTCTCTCTCTTTCCCTCTCTCTTCTCTCTCTGTCCCTGCCTCTCTGACTCCATTTCTTTGACTCTGTCTCTTCATATCTTTCCATTTCTGTCTGCCTGTCTGTTTTTCTTTCACATGATCCTTCTCCTGCAGCGAACCCCTGGCAGAATGTCAGGAGGCCAGGACACCATGAGTTAAAGTCCTACCTTTGACACATACCAGCTGTGTGACCCAGGATAAATCACTTAATGTCTCAGTACCCTAAGCAATTCTCTAAGATTATTATTGCATAACAGTTGTTAATCTGTATGGGAAGCTTTCTATGAGTGGACCAATGAAATCATAAGTCTGTGTGTGTGTACACACACAAATGCACACACAATTAGAAATACAGCAATTGGAGAATCTGGCTCAAATACCAGTGGGTTTTTGGGGGCTTTTTGGTTTTGTTTATTTTGGTTGGGATTGTTCGGGGCTTTTTGGTTTTGTTTTTTTTTTTTAGAGAGTGGCAGGATTTAAGGTGTTGTTTAGATTTGCTTTTGAACATTGTCCTTAGGCTCTTAAATGAAAACAAGGACTGACCTTGAGAAGGCAGCTTATACCAACACTATAAGTGGGCATCTGCTTTATGTTATCATTTCACTTCCCACCCTTCAGCTCACATGCTATTCCTGCCTTTTCTTTTCAGATGTGAACGAATGTCTGTCGAATCCCTGCCCACCTCTGGCCATATGCAACAACACCCAGGGATCCTTTGTCTGCAGATGTCCTGTTGGGCACCAATTAGAAAAAGGAATCTGTAACTTGGGTAAGAGAGTTAGCCGCCCTTGTTCATAGCCTTACCCTGATTTGTTCTCTAGGGTGGCTAGGTGATGGAGTGAGTAGAGCACTGGACCTTGGGCCAGGAAAATCTGAGTTCAAATCCTGCCTTCCTAGCTCTGTGACCCTGAGCAAGTCACTTACCCTCTTGGTGCTCTTTGAGGCCACTTTCAAGACTGAATTTCAAAGAATGGACTGACCTGCATTTGGTATAAGGAATTTCTTCACCCTCTAGTGTCCTATGTTAATGAAACCATAGGTCCAGTTCCTGCTGGTATTCCCTATGGGAAACAGAAATTAGCTTTTGAAATAAGAAAGAGTCAGAAACTCTTAAAACCAAATAGAGCTTTTGTAATTCTAAGCATAGGGGCAAGCTAGGTGGCACAGTGAATAGAGTGCCAGGCTTGGAGTCAGGAAGACTCATCTTCCTGAGTTCAAATCTGGCCTCAGACACTTACTAACTGTGTGACCCTGACCAAGTCACTTAACATTGTTTGCCTCTGTTTCCTCATCTGTAAAATGAGAAGGAAATGGCAAACCATTTAAGTATCTTTGCCAAGGAAACCCCAACCCCAGAAGAGTCATACATGATTGAAAAACAACTGAAATAATTACAAAGATAAATGAGTAAGCGGACCTGTGGGTAGGGGATAAAATATCACATAATTACAGAGTATCAGTATCAGAAGAGACTTCATCAGCTATCCAGTCCAACCCACACCTGAAAAAAAGGATCTTCCCTAAAACATACCCAATAAATGGTCATCCAGCCTTTGCTTAAAGAACTCCAAGGAAGGTGAACTCATTCGCTCGTAAATCTGCTTGTTCCACTCATGGGTAACTGTTTTTTTTTTTCTTTAGTGAGGCAATTGGGGTTAAGTGACTTGCCCAGAGTCACACAGTTAGGAAGTATTATGTGTGTGAGGTCAGATTTGAACTCAGGTCCTCCTGACTTCAGGGCCGGTACTCTATCCACTGCACCACCTAGCTGCCCCTAAACAGAGCACTTCTAATCCCTTGTTTACATGATAGATAACCTTTCAAATACATAAGCATAGTGTTCATTTTCACTGATGAGTCTTTTCTTCTAGGTGCTGAACATCCCCAATTCCTTTCACCGCTCCTTTTATGACATGAGCTAATAGCCCTTCACCATCCTGATTGCCCTTCCTAAGGCTTCCAGATAGAAGAGGCAGAAGGGCCATATTGCGATTATCTCTGAGGCAATGATACCCCCCTAATTTTGGAGTCCTTCTCTGATTCAGAGAGAGATTTGAGCACCTAGTGTTTGATAATACGTGTTTTTCTACGATTGGCCTTTTGGCCAGACACACACGTGTCCTTTATGATCCCAAGGATGGGGCTGGGGGTTGGGGAGAATAAATGCAGCTGATGATTGTTCTTGAGTAATGTATAATGGATGTACCACTAGTGACAATGGAATCTTAGGAGAGCTGTCCCATTACATTAGCAATCATCTTTCCATTTTCGAGTCATTTAACTCCATTGTTCTTAAACACAGCAGAGGAACATGCAAATTAATGCGTGCCAAAGAGGGCTCATTTGGCTGAGATTGTTTTCAAAGAGCTCCCTGCTGCTTGGAAAGCTGGCTCCGCTGAGCTGTAGAACAACCCAAAAGATGAGGGCTGTGTTAAAGAAGGATTAAAGGCTTCAGTCATTAAGTATAAGATGTAAAATATTTTCCCCATCTAATTCCAGGGCCCTTCATTTTAGCTCAGCCCACGTGTTTTCATGAAAGAGCAGCAGCATAGGTTTCCGCCTAGTCGTCCCCCCCCACTTTGTTCTAATTTAGACAGAAATTTATAGCATGGCCTAATATCAAATATTCTTGCACAGATTCTCTGTTACTTGTTTATAAGCAAGAGGATGCTAAGCAGAATTGCATTTCATGAGCAGAAGGTGACATGAGAACCAGACAGTATATTGGCACATTCTACCTGTTCTATATGTTCTTCTTCCCTCCCTCCAGGGAATTATGGGATCATAAGTTTTAGAGCTGGAAGGGACCTCAGGGCCGTCTATGCCAAGCTCCTTTATTTTACATAAGAAAAAAACTGAGAATCAGAGATATTAAGTGACTTGCCCAGAATCAGTTAGCAAGTGTTAGAGTCAGAATTTGAACCCAGGACTTCCTGACTCTAAATGCAGTACTCTATCCACTAAATGACATTCCCCTTGCCCCAACCTCCCAAAACAAATTGTTTGCATGATAAGCTGATTTAACTGGAGACAATAGCAACATAGTGGGCTCCACCAGAATCATCTATAGTCCCTGCTTTTCCCAAAACATACTAGCAAGGATGATGACCTAATAATCCCTTTTTGCATGGCTGAAATTCCAGTACAGGCTTAATGCTTGTTGAAAGGTGCATGGGATTAGAAGAAGAATTGGAAAAATCCAGAAGGACTCATTGCCTAGTCAGAGAGATAAGGAATTTATTATCTTGAAGACTCAAGTTGGATTTTTGTAATGGCCATCACGGATATATAGCCCTCCCCTCTGAAAAACAAAAAAAACCCAGAAACTCAAAAAAACAACATGGAAAGCTTTTTTTTTTTTAAACTAGTCTTGGGTGTATCCTGTTACCTATTCAACATCTTCTTTTTCTCCCAAATAAAGACTTTATCCTCATTTATCTTCTTGATTTGATTTCAAGAGGAGAAAAAACGAGTTACCTATCCTATAACAGAGTACCATTCTAGGGTCTGTAAAGGAGATAAAGAAGTTTTTTCTTTGTCTGTTTTTCCTTAACATTCCAGATGTAATTTTCATTTTTTTTTTTGTGGTGCTTCCATGTTGATAGTCGCCTAGCTATCTGACGTAAGAATGAAACACGAGAGGGCAGCGAAGTGGTGCAGTAGATAGTGCATCAGCTCTGAAATCAGGAGGACCTAAGTTCAAATCTAGCCTCAGACACTTATGAGCTGTGTGACCCAGGACAAGTCACCTAACCCTGATTACCTCCTCCCCCCACCATGAAAACAGAAAGAATGGGACAGGGGTGTTATAAATTGGACCGTACAACTGCTAGGCCTGTACCCAAAAGAGATCAAAGAAAGAGGAAAAGGTCCTTAATGTACAAAAATATTTAAAGCAGCTCTTTTTGTGGAGACAAAAAAACCTGGAAACTAAAGAGACATCCATCAGTTGAGGGATGGTTGAATAAGTTGTAGTATGTGAATATGATGGAATACTATTATTCTGTAAGAATTGAGGAAATAGGGGCAGCTAGATGACACAGCGGACAGAGCAGGGCCTGCAATTGGAAGGACTCATCTCCCTGAGTTCAAATCTGACCTCAGACACTTACTAGCTATGTTACCTTGGGCAAGTCACTTAACCCTATTTGCTTCAGTTTCCCTATCTGTAAAATGAGGTGGAGAAGGAAATGTCAAACCACTCCAGTATCTTTGCCCCCTCCCAAAAAGAAATATCCAGCAACCAAAATGGGGTCACGAAGAGTCAGATGCAACTGAAAAATGAGTGAAAAACAACACAGATGCAAAATGTTACATGTACTTTCAGATGTGGTCAGAGTGTTATTATTAATTTTTGTTTAATTATCTATTTTTTTACAAGAAACCTCTCATAAAGTGAGAGTAATCAGTAAACGTATATATTATAAAATAAAAGCCAAAAAAATAGAATAGGGCTGTCTATAAGTTGGTCTGATGGATAACTTCCGTTCTTTTATTTTCAGTTAGAACATTTGTGACAGAAACTAAGTTAAGAAAAACTTTTGCTAATGCTACTCTTGAAAAGCATTCAGAACTGCTTCAAGTTGAAGATGAGATCATCAAAATGGTGAGTTTCCTAAGAGAGATCCCAGTGGTCCTGTCTGTGTCAGTCCTGAAACTGGAAGGGCCCAAAGAGGTCATCTAGTGAATCCCCAAACCCCTCCTTTTACAGATAAGGAAACTGAGACACAGAGAGATGAAGCGTTTTGCCCAGGGTCACACACTTAGTATGTATTTGAGGTAGAATTGTGAACCCAGGTCTTCCAGACTCCAAGCCCGTGGATGTATTCACCACACCATGGTGCCTCTCTGCCAAAAGAGCACATCTGTCTTTTACCAGGAGTCATCCCAATGACAGTGGGTGTGATTAGTCATGTCCCTTGCAGGTACTTTTGCCGATTGCATGTTGAAAACGAGCTTGTCGATAAAGTACGGACCCCACTTAAAATGTGAGGTTCGAATTTGGGATGAGCATCAGTCACATTTCACTTATTGTCTCTGTCTTCTCTAGCTGATCCTCACCTGCCCCTCTGGGCTGTGCTTCCTACAAAGGGCAGAAATACAGTCACAGGGATGCATCCCTCATAGATACATTCAGAGGGATGAAATGTGTCAGGAAAAACTAGTATTAAAGCAAGAATAGAAACCAGACCATTCTGATTTTCCTTCTGTCATTGACCTGCTTCCCCGCCTTTGCCAGTGTGCTGAACATCTCCAGTCTCCATTAGGAAGAGATACTGTACTACTTCAGATGGATGCTGCGAGGAATTATGGGCTCACCTTTGATCGGGAGGGAAACAGAGGGGCTAACAATTCATTGTCTAGATTACCCGAAATAGTTTGCCTCTTCTTTCTCTCCACTCTTTGGCTATTTTTTCTCATTATAATTTAATTCACACATATCTAATATTTTATGGTTTACAAAGTGGTTTTCCAGTGTGGTATAATGAATAGAGGGCTAGGTTTGGACCAAACCTAGGTTCAGATTTTGCCTTTGATACATACTAGCTATGTGACAATGGGGAAGCCTCTTAACCTCAGTTTCCTCTTCTGTAAAAACAAAGACACCTGTAGTACCTACCTCATAGTGTCATTGTAAAGCTATAAAATACTATGTCAATGTCAGTTCTCATCTCCATTGTTATCACCCTCTTTTTATAGCTGACCATTGGAGCAACTGGTCTTTTGACTCCCTGTCCAGCCATTTCCTCCCTGTACTATGAGACCATTTCTGTGTTAGCCAAAAGAAGGTGTGGAGAGATAAGAAAAAGCCACTTGGTTGGATGGAAAAAGTGGTTGAAGTTGTATCAGTTAAAATGGCTTATAAGAACTATCTCTAGCTTTCAGTCATCTGTGTCTTCATGTCATGATAGAGGGACAAGAGTTGGTTTCATTTTCTGAATTAGAAACATGTTGGGTTTAATATGACTTGATGGCTTTGAAAAGCTGTGAATAAATGTTTACTTCAGTGACAGCAAAATTTGGTTGTTGAATTCTGGGTTCTAAAGAATTTCATATTCCTTTATAAAGTCTTTCTTTAAAATCATGAAAGAGTTTTACCTGTCATGAATCTTAGAATATTGGGCCTAGAATGAATTTTAGAGATCGTTCAGTGCAACCCACATTATTTTCTAGATTGGAGAAACCTAATTTTGTACCTCATTTTGATGTTATTGACTGAGACTAGGCCCTGCCTTCTGTCATAATCCCTAGCTTCTGACTCCATCTCTCAGAAGCCTAACATGAGTGCTAGCTTCATCCCTATCTCTGTCTCCTTCTCCTTTTGTCTCTGATTAGGAGTTGGCTCTTTTTCCTTCCTGGGACAGGCTGTAATTGGATATTGGAGATTATGCTGGTCTAGGGCCTTTTGGAGAGTCCTCCTCTGCACAGGTTACCCGGGTAGTGCATTGGCTCTGTCCCCTGCAGTGATTTAGGCTTCTTCAAATTCCCTGAGCCTTCTGTCCCTGCCCAGTGACCTCTCAGGGACTCTTTGTTCCACCACTGATGCTCCAGCAGGCCAGGGCCAAGATCCCACTAGTGTGAGGTCCTGTTTACCAGAGCTTACATAGACTTCTGCCTCTCTGATCTCATCCCTTTCCAAACACCCAGAGACTACTGGCCCTGTTCTTGTACAACTGTGGGATAGATGGAAGAATTCAACTGTGTTTCTCTTTGGCCTCCTTGATCATTGTTCCATCTAGTACCTTTGCTATTGATAATAGCTAGCATTTATATAACACTTTAAGGTTTGCAAAGGGCAAGCATGATCTTACTTTATCCATGCACCAACTGGGAGGTTGGTGCTATTATTATGCCCATTTTAGAGATGAGGAGGAAACGAAGGCAGAAAGTAAGTGACTTGCCCAGGATCACACAGCTTGTATATAAGTGTCTGAAGTAGGATTTGTACTCAGGTCTTCCTGACTCCAGGTCAAGCCCTCCACCTACTGTCCCACCTAACTGCTGCAGCATTTGTGGGAGATCTGGGCTTCCATATTACCTTTCACATTGCCATATTGACCGAAGGCCTCAAAAATCATATAGCCTTTAACTAGACCATCAGCTTGTTGTAAAAAGAGCTAGACTGATAGAAGAAAAATGAGTTCCCTTTATCTAATAACCAAAAAGCAAGGTCTAAGAAGATGTCCTCTGCCCATGCTGCATGGGCTAGAAGTGACATTGGCCTGAGAAACTGCCTTAAACCTTAAGAGATTCTGCACTGGCGAAGAGACCAGACGCTTCCTCTTTGAATGGAAATACCTCTGTGGGAATTTCTTTGAGCTTGTGTGTGTGTGTGTGTGTGTGTGTGTGTGTGTGTGTGTGTGTGTGTTTTCTCTCTCATGTGTTATTTTAAAGCTTCAAAGCACTTGAATCCTGCTCTCCCTCAGAGCTCCAGGTAAACCTGAGGATGTTCACTCTTCCCTTGGATCTAACAAAACCCCATTAATCCAAATTTAATGTAATTTTCCATGAAATACTTGTGAAAAGGACTTCAAGTCTACCCACCCATGCATTTCTTTGTTAGGTGCGGGGCTAATTTGGTACCATTTACAATGGCTCTCATTTCCCCAGTAGGGCACATCCTCTGATCAGGCAGGAGAAGCTGTCAGAAAGCCCATAATCTCCATGAAGATACTTTACCATGTATAACCCAAATAAACAGCTGATCCCAAGTCTTTTGAAACTTGGGGGCTTAGGAGCCTGCCACTCCTTTGAAGATGTCTGGCATCTCAGGGTGCACCACTGAGCATTATATCCTGCTGGATATTCCTCATTGATGTACTCTCTGTTCTTCTCCTTTGTACTCCAGGAAGAATAGGGCAAGAGTCAAAAAACTCATTTGAAAGGAAGAAAAACAAAACAAAAATAAAGATTTTTCTTCTCTGTGCAAAGCTGTCTTGACCTGTTATAGCACTGAATAGGAAACTGGTGATGGGTCTAAAAGCTTTTGCTATTTGTGAATGATTAAGAGTTTGCCTACATCCATTCTCTTTTCCAGCTAAACATATCTCTTTCAACGTTACCTGGTTATGCCAGATCTACTGTCCAAGCTGTCAGGTAAGTAAAACACTTAAAACTAGCTTAAGAATGTAGGAGAAGACACCCTTCACCCACCCCATTGTGGAGGTGGGAGGTCCACAAGGATTACACATTGCACATATTCTTAGACTTTTTCAATTTATCGACTCGTGGTTTTTTTCCTTTCCAAAAAAATACTATTTCTTATATTGGATTGCTTTATGGGAGGGAGAGAGAGAAGGGGAAGGATACTGGGGATAACTATAGTGATATAAGAAATAGAAAACATTAACACAAACTTTTTTAAAAATCAGTTTCCAGAAAGAGGGAAAGAAGAGACATAGGGTAACCCATGGCCAAGTCACTTATGATTGTCTCTACATTTCCCTCTCTGTGAAACAAAAACGACGAACCTTTGCAGCAATCCCAATCATCCTTAAATGGCGATTGCAAAGGATTGCTTTCAGGGGTCCTGTTAAGTCTATGAAGTGTCCCTTTGTCTCCAGGGATTCTGGCACTGTGGTAGTCTCGCTGCAGACCACCTTCTCCTTGGCATCCAATGTGACGGTGTTTGAATTGGCAGAGAGAGTACAGAAATACGTTAGTACTTGCACATCCCCGGTAGAAACCTGCCAATTCTTGAAGTCTCTGGGAAGGCTCTTCAGAGGTAAGTGTGAGACTGTTGTTTGACCCCGGGGGAAGTTTCTGCCCACTTGTTTCGATTCCACAGCTGTTTATTAAGCAGTGTAAGGTAGTGTGCCAGGTACTAGGGATACCAGGATGAAATGGTACATAGCCCCTGCCCTCAAGCTGCATGGTGTAGTGGATAGAACACTGGGTCTGGAATCAGGAGAGACCTGAGTTCAAATCTGACCTCCCATTCACTTACTAGCTGTGTGACCATAACCAAGTCATTTAACTTGTGTTTGTCTTAGTTTCTTTTGTAAAATGATGATAATAATAGTATCTACCTCCCAGGGTTGTTGTGAAGGTTAAATGAGACAGTATTTGTAAAGCTACAATGCCTAGCACAAAGTAGGTACTATAAAAATATTAGCTCTTATTCTTACTATTATGATGGAGTTTTCAGTATGTTAGAGGAAGATAAGAGCAAAGTGTGAATAACTATAATCAAATTACAATAGGGAGAAGGATTTGGAGAATCACAAGGCTTCTATGAACTGATGCCAATTGAGGTACATAGACCCAGGAAAACAATATACATGATGACTTCAGCTCTGTAAATAAAAAAAGCAACATCAGCAAAAGGAACAGGAAATGGAATTCTAGGTAACTCTATTGACTAAGCTTGTACCCGAAGGAGGGAGGAGAAAATTCATCTCCTTCACTTGGTTGCAAAGGCATGAAAGTTTCGGATTCAGTAGACATTTTGGTTAGTTTTTCTGAATTTCTTTTTTCTCTTTCTTTCTCATTCCTTGTGACAAGGATGGGGAAAGATGTAGGTGTATATTTGGAAGTAAAACTAATATAAAAAATAAAAATAGACTTTTAAAAATTATAATAAGGTAAGGACAGCCTTTTATCTCTGAGTTATGGAATGAAATAAATTCCAGAATATTGTTTCCCACCCCTCAATCCCCACTCAGATAAAAACGACTTATTCCCATGACTTTCTTCTAAATGTTCAAAGTGGTTTTTGTTCAGTTCACTTTACCACAGAATTGGAATAAGCTAAGGGGATGAAAACCACCCCTTTATCCTCCCATCTGGTTCCCAGATGCAGGAGATAAATTATGGGTATCAGCCTTCAGTGGTCCATATGTTAGTAGTTCTGGGAAATCCCAAGTGGGTTGGTTGATATCTGACTCCTGAGTCAGCAAAGGTCCCTTATTTGTGGACCTGGGGAACTAGTTAAGTTCTGGGACAAACAAGGATGGTTTTGGACTCTGGGTTTGGATACTGGGAAGGCACAAACACTTTACCAAATTGAGCACTGATGACATTCAGCCTGACTGGGAATGAGTAAGACTCAGACTTCATCTTGTGTTCTAACTTTAGAGGATAGGGATGACACTCTTATATTTACCCGGCTTGCCAGGGATTAGAAAACCTTTAAAAAAAACCCCAAAAACATACTGGTTTTCTCTCCTGAATTTGCTAATGGTGGGTACACTGCAATTGACTCTTTTTTTTTTCATTAGCACAATGCCTAATACATAGTAGGTACTTAAGAAATGATTGTTGATTAACTGACTGATTATATGATATGTCTTATTCATCCATGCCTTAGAAAGGAAGACCCCAGATGTTTGGATCTGTGAGAACTTACCCCACTAAGGTAGTTTTGTACAGAAGAGAGAACGTGAGCTCTGTAGTTAGAAGACTTCTGTTCAAATTCTACTTCTGATAGTTGTCATCTGTGTGACCTTAGGCCAATTTCTTGACCCCCCTGGGTCACATTGTCCTCATCTGTAAAGTGAGAGCCTTGGACTAGAAACCTCTAAGTTGTCTTTGCGATCTAACTCTGTGTTTCTTCCCCTGCTTCCTGAACAATCTCTACTTTTCCCAAGTACTCTTGGGAGTAGGACACTTCTTTCCCTCAATTAACATGATATTCAAAAGCTTACTTTCCAGGGAACTTCAGCTTTTACTTTGACTGAAGTCTTGGGCCTGTGGAAGGCCCTTGTGGAATTGTCCAGTCTTTGCTTTATATTTGGTTTTATGTTCTGGACATTCTACACATGCTCTTTTGTATATACCTATTTATCTGCATGTTCTCTCCCCTAATAGAATGTAAACTCCATGAGGGCAGAGACTAATTCTTCTCTTTCATATTTAAAATCCTTTACAAGCTGTCTCCGACCTATTTTTCTAGGTTTATTGTGTATTTTTACTCTTCTTTATCCACTGTTTCTTTGTAAAATACGGATAATATAGCTAGGTCCTGATTAGTGTTGAGTCCCCTGAAGTGGTTACCTGTATTTAAATTCGCACTATTAATTAACTGTGTAATTAAGTAAAAATATGGTTCCAGCCCAATGGAAACATGCAGTGGGAAGTCAAATGAGACCACTTCAGTACATTCACAGGTGTTTTTGTGTACGCTGTTGTTAATGTTATGAAGCTATCTGGTTATTGTCTTGTCAGCTGGGGGCTCCTAAGGACCCTAGTTGGTCTCTGGTAGTTATAACCCATGGCTCCATCTTGATAAGTCTTCTACTTCCTCTGCCTCATCCCCCCTCCCACACACATACCCTGTGACTCATCCTCATCACAAAGGCCATGCAGGTTCTCCTGTTTGGCATGTCCTGGGCCTGTCCCCCTGGGTGAGATCTGATAGGAGACAACTATTGCTTGTTGACTAGTGGATGGCTCTATCTGGGGAAGATCATGGAGATTGTACCTATATCAAAAAGTCATCAATAAAAAGTTGATTTCCACTTGGTTCCACAGGATATTCTCTTCTCTGCATTTATCTTGTCTCCCTTTTTTGCCCCACTGACAAACTGCTTTCTCTTTTCCCCACATGTGACTGTATATGCCAGCATATGGCAGTGTTGAGGACATTAATGCAGGATATGAAACACTTCCTCATGAGCTACATTAAGAGGGAAACTAGAAAGAGTTCATTTCTGCTTACAGAAAATATCTGGTCACACCTGATTCTGAATGACTGGTAAATGAGCCCCCGCCAGAGTCTGTGGAGAGCAACTGGTCATAGTTTATCCCACAAGGCTAGAAGAGATGATTGAAAACTTCTTTCAAAAGATATTTATGCATGGCTAGTTAGACTAGCAATCATATAGGCGTGTTCACCTCCCTGGTGCCAGCTCCATGTTATTTTTTTTTCTTTCCACTTAATGCAACCTTCTCCAAATAAACAAAGGAAATTCCATCACACACACACACACACACACACACACACACACACACACACACACACACACACACACACGTTCTGACTTAGAAATCCAACCTCCACTGATAAAGACAGGAAATTCAGAGTTAAGACCCAAAACTGTGTCCTGATTTTACCCTTCTTATGACCAGGCCTAACATCCTGACTCTGAATTCTTTTCTCTGGACTCAGAAAAAAATTGTGTTTTTTTTTTTCAGATATCACATAAAGTGTCAGGCTATGGTCTTTAATTTGACAGTTTACATCAGTTAAATTCAACAAACATTTATTAAGTTCTTGCAATGAGAGGCAGCATGGTATAATAGCTAGAGAGCTGGCCTTGGGGTCAGTAAGACCTGGGTGAAGACCTATCTCAGATTCACTGTCTGACTCTGAGCAAGACCTTAAGCTCTTATTGCCCCCAGACAGTTCTCTAAGATTTATCATAAGGTGAAGAGTAGGTACCAGGCTGTAGAAAGGAGACTAGAAGAAGAAGGTTAATCATCTGGAGTTCCCCCGTGTCCATTCCTCCCAGCCCCTACCAAATCTCGAGGTATGTGACACTGTGCTAAGTACTGGAAATACAGAGATGAAAGATGCCATAGTCCTTCCTGTCATGGAACTTGTGACCTGTGAGGGTGAACATGCACACAAATATAATACAAGGTAAAATGTGATCATGGCAAAGGAGAGAACAAGAAAAAAGGGAGTTGGGGAAGTTTAAGGAATGGAAGCTGCTACTGTTCAGTCGTTTCAGTTGTTTCTAACTCTTTATGACCCCATTTGGAGTCTCAGCAAAGATACTGGTCATCTGCCATTTCCATCTCCAGTACATTTTACAGATGAGAAAACTAAGGCAGACAGGGCTAAGTGACTTGCGCAGGGTCACATAGCTAGTAAGTGTCTGAGGCTGGATTTGAATGCACAACAACTCTGAGAAGTAGGTGCTATTATTATGCCCATTTTACAGATGAGGAAACTGAGGTAGGCAAAGGTTAAGTTACAGCTGCACCCTAGGACCTAGAGGGCCATATGTGGCCTCGAGGCCACAAATTCCCCACCCTTGAGTTAGAGACTAATCGGGAAGCTGGTGGAAGAGTTCAGATGAGAGAGGATGAGGGTCTGAGCTAGGGAATAACCATGTGAATTGAGAAAATGCTAATAACTCACATTTCTGTTCCTCAAATGTGACACTCTATCTCCTAACTTTGCACTGGCTGTCCCCCCTTCCTAGAATGCTCTCCTTCCTCACCTCTGCCTCATGATCTCCTTTAAGAAACAGCTCAACTCCTACCTTCTACAAGAGGCCTTTCTTGCCCCATCCTCCTTTGGTATATGTTCTTGTTGTTTAGTCATTACAATCACATCGAACTCTTCGTCATCCCGTTTAGGATTTTCGTGGCAAAGTTATTGGAGTGGTTTGCCATTTCCTTCTTCAGCTCATTTTACAGATGAGGAAACTGAGGCAAACAGGGTTGAGTGACTTGCCCAGGGTCACACAACTAGTAAGTGTCTGAGGCCAGATTTGAACTCAGGTCCTTCTGACTCCAGGGCCAGTGCTCTATCCACTGTACCACCTAGCTGTCCTCTACTATACCATGTTGCCTCCATAAAGCAAGAAGGTGAAGCAAGAAAATCAGGTGGAGATATTCAACAGGCATTTTGCATTATGGGTCCCCAGCTCAAGGGAAAGGTTGGAAGTGGAGTCATAAATTTAAGAAGATCATTAAAAATATAGGAGTGAATGGGGTCACCAATGGAGAGAGCACAGAAAAAGAACCAAGGAGAGAGCCTTGGAAGGCACCCAATATTTAAGGGGTAGGAGGAGGATGAGGAGTCCATAAAGGAAGCAGAAAAGCAGTCAGAGAAGTAGAGTAAGAACCAGTGGAATAGATATAATTCTCTTTGTAACATGCCCCGCTGAGTACTACCCACCCTCAATAATTCAAAAAGGCTATTGAACCAGCCTTCCCTAGACTGTATGGAGAATTAATGATGGCTTATCTCAGAAGGCTGCAAGAGATTATTGAAGACTTACTCCAAAGAGTGTTTGGCCACCACTGTTTAGACTAGGAACAATAAAGGCACATTCACCTCCTTGGTGCCAGCTCTAGAGTAGAGATTTTTTCTTCCCTTAACACAAAGTTTTCAAAATAAACAAAGGAAGGTCTCTTATATACACACATATGGTCTTCTGATATAGCACACCACCTTCCACCGATAAAGACAGGAAATGGCCTCTATAATGCTTTTTAATTATAATTAAAAGGTGGTTCAGTTCATTCACAGCACTGAGTGCTGCCCAGGGTCTCAAAGAAATCTGTTGGATGCGAGAGAAACCAGACAGTGGCTCCTATAGCCAAACCCTTGAAATGAGGTAGCAGGTCTGAAACAAACTAAATAAAATTTTCTTTTTGGAGATAAGTGCAGCACCATATTGATCACTGTGGCTAACTGCTAGCATCCTTCCTACATGGCCACCACCTGCCACTTGTGGCTGCAGTCTTGAAAAATTATGTCATGGCCCCTACCTCCAGTCTAGTACCCCTTCTCATAATGAGTATTCATGGCAGCCACACGTTCAAAGTCTTTTTCAGTGCCCTACATCAACATTTCTTTGTAGACAGTGAAGATGAACAGAGCAACGAAAAGTTAGACGGTTGTAGATGGTTGTAGAATATTTAGACTACATCTTTGGAGGTCAGCCTTACGGAGATCCCTTGTTCTAGGCCCCTCTGTCCAGTCTGCCAAATCTAATCTCTTCCTGTTGTCAAGGCCCCATGCTTTGGCTCCCTGAGAATTCAAGATTCTTCCTTTTTGGCCTGAGCTCAGCTTCCCTTGCTCTTGATGCCTGAGAATTCTGTATCCCGTCTGAGTCCTAACCATCTGGCCTTCTCTTTTTCTGTAATTGCTATGGAAATCTGGGTTCTCTTTGATCTTATTCTTTTTTAACCCAAGAAGAACTTGTCTTAGACACTTCAGGGAAAGGCAGAGGCATCCTTTTACCCACAAACAAATGAACCAGCAGCCATTTGTCCCGTAGGCACAGAAGACATTGTGTAATTTCAATAGACATAGTGTTCCCGTCCCCGCGTGCTTTGGGGTGAAGGAAGAATGGAGAGAGAGTTTGTTATACTATTCTCTCCTTACCCATACCCTTTTGATTCTGCATATATTTTCTGAAGAAAATGCTCTTAAATCTAGCAAAAGGAGGGGCTAGCAGAAGAAAATGTTAGCAAGGGACCAGTGGGTCAGATCGACAGCTTGAAAAGAATGTTGAGCTCCCTAATGGTTCTTTTATTTTAAAAAAATGTTTAAAGTTTGATTGGTGTTCTTTCTTAGTTTTTTATATCACTGGCACTTCCCACTGATTCTGTCTTTCCCCCCATAGAACTCTGTCTCGTAACAAATGAGTACAGTCAAGCAAAACAAATCAGCTTATTGACCATGTCTGAAAATGTATTCTTCATTCAACACCTGCAGTCCACCATCTCTCTGCCGGGAGTTAGAAGGCATGGGTCACCATCAGTCCTTTGAAGTAATGATTGGACAGTGCAGTGATCAGAGTTCCAAAGTCTTTCAACATTGTTTTCTTTTACATTATTGTGGTCATGGTGTAAATCTTTCCCCTAATTTCAAACATTTCACTCTGCAACAGTCCATAAATCTTCCCACTGTCAGTGACTTTTGAAAACTGCTCACAAATAAATATAATGTCATCACATGACACACAAGGTTAAATCTAAGTTAATTACCCTTAAAATGGTGATGCTTAAAGGTCTCTTTGCTCCACTGACACTTTGTTTTTCTTTCATCAGCTGGTAGTTTATGTAAAAAGAAAAGTCCAGAATGTGACAAAGAGACCTCCATCTGCACCGATTTGGAAGGTGTTGCTCTGTGTCAGTGCAAGGCTGGCTACTTCCAGTTCAACAAGATGGATCATTCCTGCCGAGGTACAGTTCTGACCCAAGCAGATTGGCAGGGAGGGAGTCCTGGAGAATATTTCAGTGATGGTCAAAACTCTGTCTTTTGGAAGCTCACTGTGTATCCCTGCTTTAGGGATAACTATTAAGAACTCAGGGTTATCAGTCCTGATGTTTGTGCTGGTGTCAGGGCAATGTATATTGTCTTGTTGTAATAATGATATTACCTATTACTGGTGTCCACTTGCCTGCTGACCAAGGGAAGGAGAAAAACAGGAGACTGTAAGGCATATCGGTGGCTAAAAAAATAGGTCTGTTGTTTTGAAGGTTGGACAAATTCAGGGCTGGACTTTGTTTGAAATGGAGGAAGCAAAAAAAAAGTCATTGTTTTAATTCACAAAGCTGTCAGGCCATTTTTAAAAATTCATATCCTTTACCCAGTTGTAAAATATGAGTTTTAGTCTATTCTGTTGAGTTAAGTGAGTGAATGAATGAATTTTTTTTTTTAAATTAAGTGCTCACTGTGTGCTTGGCTATAAATAAATAGATTTTATAAAAATATTTCTTGAAGGGTAGATCAGCAGAAGTTTAATTCAACCAAGACTGAGGAAAGCATTGATTTGAAGTGAACGTTGGTCTCTGGGAACAGGATACCTCTGTAATATTGATAATAATAATGATACCGGGAACCACTGTGGTAGAGATGATGAAGAGAGACCTGGCCTTAGTGTCATGAAGAACTATATTCTAGTACCTCTGACGATTGCTTGCTGTGTGATCCTGAGCAAGACATTTACCAACTCAGTACTCCCAGACAACACAAATTGGAGCATCATTGCTGATCTACATTGGTGTGGGGAGTTTCACCATCAGGAATTACCCTTACCAATGAAATCACAGGTTAAGACAAGAAATAGATTATTTTTTTAAAAAATAAAAAGATTGCTTTTGTATATTGCTTTAAGATTTTCGAAGTGTTTCCCATACCTTATCTTATTGTTCCTTACAAACAATTCTGTAGAGTGTATCTGTAGAGTATGTATGTATCATCATCCATATTTTATAGATTAGGAAATTTAGGCTGAGGTTAAGTGATTTGTCAAGGGTTGTACACTTAGTAAGTATGAATAGGGATTTGAACCCACATTCTCCCAACTCCAAGCTCAGCATGCTTTCCACTCTGCCATATTTCTTCACTATACATGCAGCTTCCAATCTGTCTGCCTAACCCCAGTATCAAACTGTTCGTTGTCTGGTGGACATTTCCATGGTGATCATGGAATCATAACTTCAAAGGTTATCTAGTCCAGCCTCTCTTGTAAAAAAAAAACAAAACAAGACAAACAAAAAAAACCAAACCACATAGTAAGTAAGTAGCAAAGTTGGGATTTGAGCCTTATTACTCAGACTGCAAAACCAGCAGTCCTTCTACTGTACCACACTGTCTTTCCTATCAGGGCCATCCTGATCTGTTTCTTGCCACTGGACCCAGATGGCTCCAGAGGAGAAAGTGAGGCTGGTGACTTTGCACAGCCCTCCCTCCCTTAAAACCAATTCACTTGTAAGTCATGGCATCCCCTCCATCTCGTCATGGTCCTCTTCGAGGATGAAGGACAAACAACAACCACAACAGCAACTGCCTTTCCTATAGGATATCATACAAGATAAACCTAGGCCCTGAAGACCTGAAGAACTATAAGACAAAGATAAAAGATTCGACCAGAACAAGAGAAAACAGTTGCCTTTGTAAGAGTTATCATGTCAGGGGCAGCTAGCTGGTGCAGTGGATAGAGCACCGGCCCTGGGTTCAGAAAGACCTGAATTCAAATCAGGCCTCAGACACATAACACTTACTAGCTTTGTGTGACCCTGGACAAGTCACTTAACCCCATTGCCTAGCCAAAAAAAAAAAAAAAAGGAGTTATCATGTCAATTACATTCTTAACCTGTATTGAGTAGTAAAGTAAATAGGCCTAAGAAAAACTTCCTGATAGCTGGAGTTGATTGATGGGCTGAAGAGATAGAAAAATGCACTTCCCTCTCTTTTTTGCAGAGGGCAGCTGGGTGGCACAGTGGATAGAGCGCTGGGCCTAGAGTAAGGAAGACTCGCCTTTTCTGCATTCAAATCTGGCCTCAGATGCTTATTAGTGGTATGACCCTGGGCAAGGCACTTAACGCTGTTTTCCTCAGTTTCCTCATCTGTCAAATGAGCTGGAGAAGGAAATGGCAAACCACTCCAGTACCTTTACCAAGAAAACCCCAAATAGGGACATGACTGAACAACTCTTTTTGCAGGAGTGTGATGGATACTATGGATGAGGAACATGCCAATATAGTCATACCTGGTCGATTCATTGCTTAGTTTTGCTGACCTTCTTTCCTCTCTCTTTTTAAATTCTTTTTTGCAAGGAATGACTCCTTAGGGAGGGTAGGGGTAGAAGATTATATTTGGACAGGAAGGTGGGACTTACAGAACCCAAGAGAAACAACTGGAAGATTAGTGAAACTGTTAGCAACTTTAGCCCTGATTAATTGGACCAGTTCTTCAGTGAAATTGTGAGTTCAGCTCCTGGCATTCCTTTCTTTGCAATCATCAAGGACTTGTAAAAATCTCAAAAGTAGCGTGAATGGCAACTCATTCTGCTTAGTTAAAAAAAAAAGTTAATGGCGGTATAGGACAGTTTTCCTTGCTCAAGTAAATATTCTTGTATTGACATATAAAATCCAAATTTAAAAAAAGATAGTGGTGAAAGGAGTTATAGGAAATTTATCTATAAAAGCCTCGCATTCCCTTTCTGAGGGATTATTGGATTTAGAGTATTTAAATGTATTCCAGAGCCATCCTAAGATCACTTTAGCTCTTCAGGAAAGGCAGCTTTGTACGTGGTCCTTGTTGTTATGTTTGGACATAGAGCCCTTTTTAAATGTTAAAAATCATCTTTTCCGTCCAGGACTGGAATACCAAGGAATGCATTTTGGCTAGGGGGTAATTGAAAGATAGATGGGCAGGCCAATAGACTCTCCTTAGAATATGAAGCTATCTGCTCTCGTAGGCAGTAAGAGGATAAACTGGATCTAATGATGGACTAGGAGTCAGGAAGACCTGAGTTTGAATTCAGCTCCAAAGATGACCTTTCTCAGCCGCTCTTTCCTTATCTATAAAATGGGGGTGGTAATAGCCCTTATCTCATACTTAGCAGACCCTAAAGCCCTCTATAATAGATGCTAGTTATTATTACCATGTGAGATGTGTAGCTGGTTTATAATGCCTTCCAGTGTCAGCCCAGCCACTGTTTTTGGGCACCTAGGATGTGTGGGCATTATATTTCCCACCAGACCACCAGCTACATAAAAGGATCTATGCAAACTATGGGAGGGAAAAGAAGGGGAGAGAGGAGAAGAGGTTCTGCTGGCTGACAGGCAGGCAGTCCTTCCTTTTCCTAGTTCATCTGGCTTAATAAAAAAGCATTTCCTGTGCCATCAAGAAAGGCTAGTTTGTCCAGCCAGGTCCACGTTGTGCCCTGTTTCAGAGAGTAAGTTGACTTCTACTGAAACCTCTCTGCCTGCTGAGAGATTCTCAGTGTGCCAGAGGAAATGAGGAGGAAGGACTGACCTCTGGCCCCTTGGGGAAGGCAGGAACAGAGCAGGGTCTGAGCATATTTGGTTCTATGAATAGTGTACATTGTTAAATGTTTTTGACCGCATCATTAACCTATTCTAGTTTTGATCCCCGTCAGCCATAACCATTTCCTTCCATTTTAAAATCGTCTCTTCTGAAATCTCACCAATCAGATGTTGGCCCCAAACAGAGTCGTCAAATAATTACCAGAATTATATAAAGCAGGAGCAGACAACTTTGCAGAAATATGAAGGTTGGGAGGGATCCTAAGGAAGAGAGGTCTTACATAAAACCTCCACCAACTTCTTGTCTTCCTGCCAAGGCAATTCATGCGTCCCTTGAGCAACATCTTCAGTCGATAATTATTAAATCTGTAGTCATCCTTTGATAATATTGTTCACCAATGGAACGCCAGGTTCAGAGCTGCAACAGCCCAGTGCTGGGGAGAGCCTTTCAGCCGTACTTTGGGTGGATTTATAGCGACATCTTCTGGCCATCTGTGTTAAAAACTCATGGACATTCCCAAAGCCTCTCCTTAAAGGGTGCTTCAGATCAGGGCTCAGAGATTTCTCCAAAGTGACAGTCAAAAGCCTTCCCCAATCAGAATAGTTTAAAATAAGGTGTTTAAAAAGTTTCACTTAAAGCTAAAGTGCAGGAGTGTCCAATTCTGCATCGTCCTTGTGCTTGCTTTTCTTTTCTGAGTTTTCCAGTAGTTGCTCTGAGTTTGGATTTTTTTTTTAAAGCAACAGTCGTCTTTCCTTTACACCATGTGATCCATCCTGCCCATTCCCACCTCCTCTTGGGTCCTTACACTTAGATATGTCTCTGATCCACAGTTTAAGAAATAGATTCATTTTTTATCACTTGCCCATTCAACATCAACTGGATCTGAAGTAAAAAAAAAACAAACCCAAAAACTGGGTTCAGACCCCAGCTCTGTCACATTAGAGCTTGGACAAGTCTCTTAATCTCTCTGGGCTTCAGTTCCCTCATCTATAACTGAGGGCTCTGGACTTCTCAGGTTTAAATCTTCCAGATCTAAATCTGTGATTTTATAGTCACATGTTACAACAAAAATGACTGTCTGAGAAATGGAATCTATGAGGAAAGACTGCAGGCTTTGAGATGAAGACCTGTGCTATTGTTGTTGAGTCATTTCAGTCCTATTTGAGTCTTCGCGACCCCATTGGGGGTTTTCTTAGCAAAAATGCTAGAGTGGTTTGCCATTTTCTTTTCCAGTTCATTTTACAGCTGAGGAAGCTAAGGCAAATAGGGTTAAATGATTTGTCTGAGGTCACATAGCTAGTAAGTGTCTGAGACCAGATCTGAATTCACATTGCTTTATCTGTTGCTCCACCTAGATGTGCTCGGAAGGCTTATAAGACAAAGTTAAAGGGTTTGGTTACAAGGA